GTGGAAACTATTTACATCATGTCTCATTTGGTCACCTGAGACAGCTCACACGGTAACTATTTACATGATGTCTCATTGGTCACCCGAGACAGCACACGTGGAAACTATTTACGTGATGTCTCATTGGTCACCCGAGACAGCACACGTGGAAACTATTTATGTGATGTCTCATTGGTCATCCGAGGCAGCACACACGGTAACTATTTACATGATGTCTTATTGGTCACCCGAGACAGCACACGTAGAAACTATTTACGTGATGTCTCATTGGTCACCCAAGGCAGCACACATGGAAACTATTTACGGGATGTCTCATTCGCCACACAAGGGCAGCGACCTCTTGGCGATCCCGCGGCGTCCATGAAAACACAGACAGCCAAGGTAGTCGGCGGCGCTTGCACGGAGACGTCACGGAGTCCTTAGTGATAACAATGCGTCTGTCAACTGCGTCATTAAGGCGCGTCTACGGCGCTTACACGGAGTGTTATCTATGTCAATGCGCTTTCACACCAACCACATGGAGCGACCACGGCGATGAATGTGTTAACACGGAGCTGCCATGGCGATAACTGCACTCCGTCTATCAGCGTTGGCATGGCGTTTGCAGGGCATTGCCAGTGCGTTGTAAGCCAACCCTATGGAGTGTAACAGGGCTTTTACAAGGAAGATAGTTACGTCTCTTTCGTAAGAAACATCGCTGTGCAAAGCACCAGTTTTCTAAATGTAGATTTAACGAAATCTACAAAATGACAAAACGTTGCAAACGCTTCAACGGTAACATTAAAAAGCTTGTGTATGGTTGTCAAACTTATTCCTATAAAGACGATATTTACATTTGGACTTTATTTAAATTCCACAACTAGCTACTCCTTGCTTAAAGTGACTATATACACAATCAGAATGTACAAAACGCAAGTTGCAAAACTGCCAATTCACTGTAGATGAATTCCATTTTCACTTTGTCCAGATGATCCACACAAAGGAGGCTCGTAGATCATTGCCTGACTGTTCAATGACATCATTAAGTTAATACATTCCTTGATCGTTTTCTTAAAAGCCAGTTTTTAATTCCAATACACAAAGGCCATGGTAAAGCAAATACCCTACCAAATATTTTCAAAGAACCACGACGTATGTATCAAGTAAACTCACCAGAACAGCGTGTAGGATAGAAGGCAGAATTTCCCCACCTTCTGCAACAAGGATTAAACGTCACTGAGGCACTAAAAACGCTGTGCTTACGTTAACAGAAAGTATTGCGTGTGACAATGAGAGGGTGTCGCTTGTCTCTGTGTATTCTTAGATGTAGAATAAGCATTTTAATCTTCAAGATTGCCTAATATGGAAAAACATGTATTTTGAGTAAAAGTAAATATTCTCGCCCATGGGCCAAAATGTTTTTCGCCCATGGGCGAGATTTGTTAATGTCGCTCAAAATTAGCCGAATTAAGTCAAAATGACTTGAATTTTGTGTCATGATGCTTATAAACATACATTCAATCATTTATAACCTCCAAAACATGGAAAAACATGTATCTTGAGTAAAAGTATATATTCTCGCCCATGGGCGAGATTTTTTAATATAGCTCTAAATTAGCCGAATTAAGTCACAATGAGTTGAAGTTTGTGTCATGATGCTTTTAAACATACACTCATTCATTTACAACCTCCAAAACATGAATTCTGAGCGAAATTAAACATTCTCGCCCATGGGCCAAAATGTTTTTCGCCCATTGGCGAGATTTGTTAATATCGCTCTAAATTAGCCGAACTAAGTTAAAATGATTTGAAATTTGTGTCATGGTGCCTTTAAACATACACTCATTCATTTACAACTTCCAAAACATGGGGACGGTGGGGTAACCTAGTGGTGAAAGCGTCGGCTCGTCACGCCGAAGACCCGAGTTCGAATCCCCACATGGGTACAATGTGTGAAGCCCATTTCTGGTGTCCCCCGCCGTGATGTTGCTGGAATATTGCTAAAAGCGGCGTAAAACCAAACTCAGGCAGTCAGTCCAAAACATGAAGTCTGAGCGAAATTAAAAATCCTCGCCCATGGGCCACTGTTCGCCATGGGCATGGGCCGGCCCATGGGCGAGCGAGTTTAAATTTAAAATATTTTTAATTTTTTCATCCTTAGCATATATTCATAACAACTGCATGTTTAATTTTGTCGAATGCCTTTGTCAGAAAGTGTCCACAGTGCGGAGAGTTTCTGGACTTTTGTGAGTCCAAAATTAAATTGTGACGTGTTCTATGAAAGTTCAGCGCTCTACAAAATGACTAGACCAGATTAGATTAGATTAGATTCATCAAACTGGACCCGGTTGTTCAAAATTCGGTTACCTTTTCACCAGCCGTCAAGTATATTTAACCGACTGTTAACTAATAACAGAGGGTCATCTTGTTGTTCAAAACTCTGTTAACTTTTAACAGGTTGTTAACGTGACGTTAAGTTAACACACCTAAGGACCGCCGCTAACTTTTTAACAATGTGGTTAACTCGCAAAATGGTGTTCATGGCTAATGCCGTTAGGAGTTAACCGACGGTTAAGATAACCGAGTTTTGAACAACCGGTCCCTGTACGATATGGGAATAACGCGTATGTAGGAGATTTAGACTCTCCAATCAAAGTTCTATGAAATCATATGCATTTGTATGATTTGAAGGATTTAAATCAAGAGTGAACCAAGGGGTGTGTCAAAAGAGGGTTTTATCCACCTGGCTTTTCACATCATTAACGAGACGACAGTCAGTCATAAATCATTCTGTGGCACACTTATAAACACATCGTGTATTTACTTAGCTGTGAAACTTTACTATCTTCTACTTTTTTTAAATCTTTACAATATGCTATTATATCTTAACGTTAATCGGTTTTAGCTTAACTATATACTACTACCCTTGCCACTACCTTCAGTTTTATGTGGAACATGGTATACTTTGGTATATTTCTCAGATATTCTCATGTACATCTGTTCTTGATAAATTACTTCAATTCTGTTTAACTTTATTACACTGTTTACCTTTGAATATGTATTATGACTATTATAGAATTATATTGTGTGAATCCCCAATGTGGGGGTGTATAAGAGTGTATCAGACATAAAATATTCAACCACACGTAGACTGTTGTATACTTTTATAATAGCTAGGTATCGTGATTGTTGAAGATTGTTTCTTAGGTAACGAATCTATAGCGTGTTCATCTAATGTTCTTCACATAAATGTACTCTTACAATTGATTGCAAACATACTCAAATTATCATTTTTTCCTGTTGACTGATTATATATATCAGCCCTCTGCGGCTGACTAATAGAATCACGTTATTTATTCGGGTGTTGTTTTGTGGGTTGGCTGTGCACATTGGTACCTCTGCTTGTGAGCCGATTTCCCCAGCTGGTGCAATACTTGCTACAGATGTGTCAAAATTGCCCCTAATGCACGTTAAACATGTAAATTAATTATCTCTGTGCATGTTATCTTCATTCTATGTGAGGAAATCCATAAGACGTATGATAATGGGGGGGCACTGGTGTAGCCTGGTGATTTCGCCTGTTTCGTGACACCGGGTGTCACTAATAGTGAAACGTAACCATATTATCATAATATAGACTGTATTTAGTCCAAATCGTACAATAAACTCTTACCTTGCCAGAGGTGTCTTACTGAAGCATCCACCCGGAGAGTGGAAGATCACGGGTTCGATCCCCGACCGCGTCATACCAAAAGACATTAAAATATGGTACTTATTTGTCCCTGCCTGGCGCTCGGCATTAATGGGTACAACAAGGACTGGTCGGCTCGGAGTCAGTATAATGTGTCTGAGTGGGGTATTCATGCTTCACTGCGGCATGGTATCTCAGTGGGCTGGCACTATAAAACAAGCTTAAGTCTGGGATAGTACAAGCAACCGCACATACACACACACACGCATGCACGTCGTCATATGAGCGAAATATTCTCAAGCACGACGTAAAACCCAATTTCACCTCACCTCACCTCACCTCACCTCACCTCACCTTACTGAAGTATGCCAATGACATATATATCGTCACCACGAACATATATTTATAGTGAAGAACATATTTACGTGCTGAAGTTCGAACCTTTTCAATTGCAGAATTAATGTTCCAAAACGTCAACTATGAAAAACAGACTTGACATTTCTTTTGATCAAGCTATTCTGAAAATATATCAAAGGGTTAAACTCTGACTTTGAAAAAGCTTTAAAGTATCATACTATGTTTTGTAATTAAATTCTATTCTAATACATATATTTATCCTAGCGCTTGCACCGACGTAGAGTTAGCATCTACACCGAAACGTCGCTTACATTTATCAGAAATTGTATATCCATGGAACTTTGTTCGTTGTTCATCACACCAACTTCTAAATGCCACTCAAAGATGTTAAGCTGTTACGTGTCGCAGTACCATGATTGTTGACTATAACAAGTAAACACATCAGCAACCACGGATAACGTTCCAAAGCTAACCTACATCATGTGCATATATTATGTTGCTTCCTTGGTGTTAACCCTGGTAAACGCTGAGCCTGGTACATCCGGCGTTTCCATGTACTGCGTTCGCTCAGCACTGCAGAGTATATTTACGCCGCAGAGCATCAACACAGCCCCATCACCCCTGAAACGGTTTCATGTAGACTAGCATAAGTCTCTAAAGTAATAATTAATAGTTTAAATGATAATTGATAAAAAGTATAAAAAGAAAGAAAACTTTCACCCTCTTATAGATGGGGTCCTTTGGCGTACCGTCCGCTCATCTAAGCGTGCCTCTTTAAAAGATAAAATGACTATACATCTATGGGTTTAGCATTCAGTTAGTCTTTCAGCAAGACTTGGTTTCAAGTTTCAAGGTTCATACTCCTTCGTCAGCTGTTCAGCTCGTCATAATATTTGACAGCGCACTTTGTGCTGCTTGCTGGAGGGGTCAAGGACTTCATCTTGAATGTTGTGGTGCAACTCTCGTGGTGTATAAGCCAGGAACATCCAGCCTATGTAAGTACTATTTTATATGTAAATGTATCTGTACAAATGTCAGACATTGTTGCGTTAAGTTTAAACCAGGTGATGACGACGCAACTCTGATCCACTGTATGAGACAGTACGCACCAATGTACTGTTATTGTTCTAACACATGTCAGGTATCGACACTTTGCAACATAAAATACTGCATCTTAAGAGATGAGGCATTGTTAGAAGATAGTTGTATTTATTATGACGTTTAAAAGAAAGGATATACCCGGAAGGTGTTTTACTATATTATTACGGCGCTTGAAAGAAGAGAATAATCCAGTAGGTATTACATGATGGTACCAAACATCCATCCTGCAGGTTATACCCATGTTCGGAATCCTACCCAGTGGTGCCAAACTGAACACCAGCGGTAAATACAAATACACCTGTATTCAATACAGAAACTAATTATTATGGAGTGAGTGAGTGAATGAGTTTAGTTTTACGCCGCACCCAGCAATATTCCAGCTATATGGCGGCGGGCTGTAAATAATCGAGTCTGGACCAGAAAATCCAGTGATCAACAGCATGAGCATCGACCTGCACAATTGGCAACCGATGACATGTGTCAACCAAGTCAGCGAGCCTGACCATCCGATCCCGTTAGTCGCCTCTTACGACAAGCATGGGTTACTGAAGATATTCTAACCAGGACCTTCGAGGGTAGAATTATTATGACTGACAGACTGAGTTTGGTTTTAGGCCGCTTTTGGCAATTTTCCTGCAACATCACGGGGGGGGGATACCAGAAATGGGCTTCGAACCCGGGTCTTCGGCGTGACGAGCCAACGCTTTAACCATTAGGCTACCACACCGCCCCAGAATTATTATGGAAATGATCTATTGATATGTTGACTTATTGACGTGTTCAGACACAATTACCATTCTGATATATACATTGTGTAATAGATGACGGACATAGTATTGACTCCACACAGTAATTATTATGTGACAGTAAATAGTGGAATCAGTATTACAGGACGTTGTGTCGCTGCTGTGATGTTTCTCTGCTTTCGAATTCTTTCAAAATATAGTATATAAACAGTCAGACACATGATACTGTCAATAAGGATCTTGAGGTCTTTACTGAAAGTACCTGTTTCGGGGTCACGTGGTGTAATTTAAGTCAGGGGTGTCTGGGACAGCTGATATAAACATTAAGCGCCGAAGGTAAGATTGTTTACAGTTCACAACATACAGCAACACACTGCATCTAATGCTTACCAGAGGACGCATATGTTTGCAATATTATTGAACACACTGAGTGAAAATATAACACGTAAATATTTAACAGAGTGAGGGATTAAAACATTTTAAATTAGCTGTTGACGAGTTTGTCGGCATCTCACATCTTGAAGCGATTTATGGGGGCGTTTCACCAATCATAAAGTAAGTTTGCTTATAACGTTCCATTAGGCTTTGCAACTACGCATTTGCAACCATGTCGTAACATCACAAACGACAATTTAAGCACACTAGGGGAGGACAGCTGATTCAAGTCAGCCATGAACGTTTCTTGAGAACTGACACTCCGCGATGGTAGCTATTTAAACTGAATGACTGCAGCAGCATCAGAATCTAACGTCAGTGATTGCAGTCATCCTTCCATTGCATAGTTTGCCCCAAGGGTGTATTTGTAGTTGTACTATCATACAATCAACCTTTATTCGCATGCAAACCACCCGCTGTGTTATAAGAAAACGTTTTATATGTCATCGGTTTATTACTTGAAAACATGATGCCAGACATATAGAACTATTTTGTGTTTACTTTCTTCAGCTATTTTCATTTCTGTGAACAAAACTATATACAACATATTTACATAAAATTGGTCATTAAAAATAATATCTATCGAAATGACTTTACCATGTATGTTTGATGTTGCTGTGACAGTATACGCCGACTCCAGAGACAAGGGAAATGGACATCTTGGCTGTCGTATTGCTGCTTACTGCTGTGAACTTAGCAGGTACACGTGTGTTTTATCGGCGTTGCTACATTGTCCTTTAAACGGTAACTCTAAGTGTGTGTGTGTGTGTGTGTGTGTGTGTGTGTGTGTGATGATGATGATTTTGTATCTATATCATGTACAAAATCAATGCCCCCCCTCCCCTTCCCATAATTTTTTAAACATACTTTTATTTACAGAATTGCTGCCCCCCAGTGCGTGTGTACAGAATTGCTGCCCCACCCCATTGGTGAACCCTTAAAATTTACCCCCTCATAAATTTTGAAGTAAGGCAGTCTTGTGGACCAAAACATCCGCATCATTCTATGCACGGAAATTCTTCTTAAAAATAGGGGGAGGTTTCTAATTTTAAAGTGACCTAACATGGTAACGCCCGCAGTCTGTGTGTATCCTTAATGTGTATTGTTGTGTCTTCAGTGTCCAGGAAGCCCATCTGTCCCACAAACGCCACCTCCTGCAGTGAGTGCATCACCGCCAATGTCAGGTGCGCGTGGTGCAGCGAGGTGCGTACCTAACAGATTAGTCTTACTCCATGTTGTAATTGTGTAACACCATATCAGGTATGTACACCAAGTAAAACTGTGTCTGATACAGGGCTGTGGGGTAGCCTAGTGGTTAAAACGTTGGCTCGTCACGCCGAAGACCCGGGTTCGATTCCCCACAGGGGCACATTGTGTGAAGCCCATTTCTGGTGTCCCCCATATTGCTGGAATATTGCTAAAAGCGGCGTAAAACCATACTCACTCACTTACTGTCTGATACATGCCATACCTATATATTATCAACAGGGATATTTTCGAGAACCTCGATGCTTTCCCTTTAATAAGCTGAAGAAGGGTTCAACTTGTTATGAAAAACACATTGTGTCGCCGGAACGGATCTTCACGACAATTAGAAAGGTATGAACTAAATGTATTTTATTACTGAAACAAATCTCTTTCCCATATAACACTATTTGTCAGGCACATGTCGAATATTCCTTCATTTAGAAGCGATATGTATTAATGTCATAATTCTATTGCATGGTACACGAAACTTACCCATTGTAGGGCCCAACAATATACACTCAATACGCATGCCATTACTCTAAGTACAACAAAGATATTCCCGTTATCACCTAATGTATTATTTTTATTTCGGGACGTAACACGGGACACTTCAAATGAGCTGTCACGTACATAAACATTGAATGAATAGTCATGACCATTGTACATCCAGCGTTGTTATACTTGAGGCCTTTGGGAGCGCATACAGAGTAAACTACTGAAAAAAACATTTATAGGGCTAGCCTTTCAGATTACTTCGGTAATATGTTATGCAGTAATATGAAGATTCTGTCATGACAAGGAAGATTAACTGTAGTAATATGTAGATTCTGCGATGCCAAGGAAGATTAACTGTAGTAATATGTAGATTCTGTCATGTCAAAGGACGATTAACTGTAGTAATATGTAGATTCTGTCATGTCAAAGGACGATTAACTGTAGTAATTATGACCATTCTGTCATGCCAAGGACGATTAATTGTAGTAATATGAAGATTCTATCATGCCAAGGAAGACTAATAGTAGAAGATTCTGTCATGACAAGCAAGATAAACTGTGGTAATATGAAGATTCTGTCATGTCAAGGAAGATTAACTGTAGTAATATGTAGATTCTGCGATGCCAAGGAAGATTAACTGTAGTAATATGTAGATCCTGTCATGTCAAGCAAGATTAACTGTAGTAATATGAAGATTCTGTCATGACAAGGAAGATTAACCGTGGTAATGTGAAGATTCTGTCATGTCAAGGAAGATTAACTGTAGTAATATAAAGATTCTGTCATGAAAAGGAAGACTAACTGTGGTAATATGAAGATTCTGTCATGACAAGGGTGATTAACCGTGATTATGTGAAGATTCTGTCATGTCAAGGAAGATTAACTGTAGTAATATAAAGATTCTGTCATGACTAAGACGATTAATTGTAGTGATAAGAAGATTCTATCATGTCAAGGAAGACTAACTGTAGTAATATGAAGATTATGTCATGCCAAGGAAGGTTAACTGTCGTCATTTGAGAGAATCTGCCTTTGAATATGATTTCGGGGTTAAATATCTTTACTCATTCGCAAAATATGTATGATTGCAGGCCCGTGAGATCAGGCGAAACCGTCCCATTACACCACAGCTTGTTAACCTCCATTTGAGACGAGGTAGAGGAATATTACCACCATCTATTCCACACTAACACAAACGCATTGACTCACATCAAGCTAACATTGTTGAATTAAATCTGTTGGCATTACATCTGTCCTTAAATACATCTCACTTGTGAGTTGTTACTTTAGCTTCACTATGGGCGTTATATAGACGAATTTTGAATGCTGGGACCAGCTCTCTCATTTCACGTAGTTTGTACTCTCGTTTTGTATTGAGGAAAGATATACAACAGCTCTCATTTCATGCCGATCTAGTGCCATGTTTTTGTGACACTCTTCCTATTACATATTCCATCTACAGGTGCCAAAGCGAACATTCCTTTCCGTGTTAAAGCCAAGAAGGTAAGTCTTGATGTTTTGATATATATGGCTATTGCTTGTGAAGTTTCCTTCGAGACAATAAAGTATTATAAAATGAAATCAAATATCAAGTCCCATACTTCTTGAACCCTGTTTAAGCCCACCCCGGAAGGAGGGTCAAGTGAGCCTATGGCCTTTTGTTTGTCTGTTGTCCTGCCCATGTCCGTCATGATGGGTTTCTGTTAGGGTGGATGGCCGTTATGAATCTGTGTGGAACAACAATGTGATTTGGTCTTGTGCATGGTATGTAAATAAGTCTTTCCAAACTGAAAATATATTTTCAAATTTTGGTCACTGTTTCAACACCAGCTTAAAATGTACGTATGCATAATGCTTCTGACTTGTGTCAGTAATGTACAGTTTGGTATACACATGACCATTAATTAAGCCCACCTGAATCCAAGGGCAGTTTTAAAATTTTGGTCCCAACAGGTGATCATACCTAGCATACTGGAATTCACATGCACATGCTTCAAACAATTTCTCAAAAGCAGTGGGCATCATGTTTATCTGCTGCGAAGGCGCCAGTCATATTGGCGTATAAGTACAGCATGTGCGCTGCAGTTTTCAGAACTGATTTAATAGACGGCAGTACAAGGATGAACCTTTCTGGACACGGCAGGACGTAGATTTTCAGAACATACACGATTGGCATGCATAACACAGGGATGTGGTGTTGCAACAAAGGAAAGGTGCCAACATGAACAGTAACCAGAACATGGATATTAGACAACATGTGATGAAGCGCGTGGCCACTAGTGAAGTAAAGGATCGGTCAAGACCTGGAAGAACGAAGAAAACAAATGAACATGATGACCGAGTCCTTATTCATCCAATCCCATGACCCATGCCTAAGATGGAAGTCGGACTCTCCTCCAGCGTCATCAGAAGGAGGCTGGTATCATGTAACGTCGTCTGATCAGACATCCCTTCCTTAATGATAGAGAAAGAAGGAGGCCGCTGGTATCATGTAACGTCGTCCGATCAGACATCCCTTCCTTAATGATAGAGAAAGAAGGAGGCCGCTGGTATCATGTAACGTCGTCTGATCAGTATCAATGATAACGTCGTCTGATCATGAACGTCGTCCGATCACATCACTTAATGATAGAGAAAGAAGGAGGCCGCTGGTATCATGTAACGTCGTCCGATCAGACATCACTTCCTTAATGATAGAGAAAGAAGGAGGCCGCTGGTATCATGTAACGTCGTCTGATCAGACATCACTTCCTTAATGATAGAGAAAGAAGGAGGCCGCTGGTATCATGTAACGTCGTCCGATCAGACATCCCTTCCTTAATGATAGAAAGAAGGAGGCCGCTGGTAGGAGGCCGCTGGTATCATGTAACGTCGTCCGATCAGACATCCCTTCCTTAATGATAGAGAAAGAAGGAGGCCGCTGGTATCATGTAACGTCGTCCGATCAGACATCCTTCCTTAATGATAGAGAAAGAAGGAGGCCGCTGGTATCATGTAACGTCGTCCGATCAGACATCCCTTCCTTAATGATAGAGAAAGAAGGAGGCCGCTGGTATCATGTCGTCTGACGTCGTCCGCGATCATGTAACGATCATCCTTCCTTAATGATAGAGAAAGAAGGAGGCCGCTGGTATCATGCGTCGTCCGATCAGACATCACTTCCTTAATGATAGAGAAAGAAGGAGGCGTCGTAACGTCGTCCGATCAGACATCCCTTCCTTAATGATAGAGAAAGAAGGAGGCCGCTGGTATCATGTAACGTCGTCCGATCAGACATCACTTCCTTAATGATAGAGAAAGAAGGAGGCCGCTGGTATCATGTAACGTCGTCCGATCAGACATCACTTCCTTAATGATAGAGAAAGAAGGAGGCCGCTGGTATCATGTAACGTCGTCCGATCAGACATCACTTCCTTAATGATAGAGAAAGAAGGAGGCCGCTGGTATCATGTAACGTCGTCCGATCAGACATCACTTCCTTAATGATAGAGAAAGAAGGAGGCCGCTGGTATCATGTCGTCGATCGTCCTTCCTTAATGATAGAGATCCGCTGGTATCATGTAACGTCGTCCGATCAATCACTTCCTTAATGATAGAAAAGAAGGAGGCCGCTGGTATCATGTAACGTCGTCCGATCAGACATCACTTCCTTAATGATAGAGAAAGAAGGAGGCCGCTGGTATCATGTAACGTCGTCCGATCAGACATCACTTCCTTAATGATAGAGAAAGAAGGAGGCCGCTGGTATCATGTAACGTCGTCCGAGACATCCCTTCCTTAATGATAGAGAAGGAGGCCGCTGGTATCATGTAACGTCGTCCGATCAGACATCACTTCCTTAATGATAGAGAAAGAAGGAGGCCGCAGGTATCATGTAACGTCGTCCGATCAGACATCCTTCCTTAATGATAGAAAAGAAGGAGGCCGCTGGTATCATGTAACGTCGTCCGATCAGACATCACTTCCTTAATGATAGAGAAAGAAGGAGGCCGCTGGTATCATGTAACGTCGTCCGATCAGATACCTTCCTTTAATGATAGAGAAAGAAGGAGGCCGCTGGTATCATGTAACGTCGTCCGATCAGACATCACTTCCTTAATGATAGAGAAAGAAGGAGGCCGCTGGTATCATGTAACGTCGTCCGATCAGACATCACTTCCTTTAATGATAGAGAAAGAAGGAGGCCGCTGGTATCATGAACGTCGTCCGATCAGACATCACTTCCTTAATGATAGAGAAAGAAGGAGGCCGCTGGTATCATATAACGTCGTCCGATCAGACATATCCTTCCTTAATGATAGAGAAAGAAGGAGGCCGCTGGTATCATGTAACGTCGTCCGATCAGACATCCCTTCCTTAATGATAGAGAAAGAAGGAGGCCGCAGGTATCATGTAACGTCGTCCGATCAGACATCCCTTCCTTAATGATAGAGAAAGAAGGAGGCCGCTGGTATCATGTAACGTCGTCCGATCAGACATCACTTCCTTAATGATAGAGAAAGAAGGAGGCCGCTGGTATCATGTAACGTCGTCCGATCAGACATCACTTCCTTAATGATAGAGAAAGAAGGAGGCCGCTGGTATCATGTAACGTCGTCCGATCAGACATCACTTCCTTAATGAATGATAGAGAAAGAAGGAGGCCGCTGGTATCATGTAACGTCGTCCGATCAGACATCACTTACTTAATGATAGAGCTGGAAGGAGGTCCGATCTGGTATCATGTAATGTCGTCCGCTGGTATCAGACAGACATCACTTACTTAATGATAGAGAAAGAATGAGGCCGCTGGTATCATGTAACGTCGTCCGATCAGACATCACTTCCTTAATGATAGAAAGAAGGAGGCCGCTGGTATCATGTAACGTCGTCCGATCAGACATCACTTCCTTAATGAGAGAAAGAATGGGGGCCGCTGGTATCATGTAACGTCGATAGACATCACTTCCTTAATGATAGAGGAGGCCGCTGGTATCATGTAACGTCGTCCGATCAGACATCACTTCCTTAATGATAGAGAAAGAAGGAGGCCGCTGGTATCATGTAACGTCGTCCGATCAGACATCACTTCCTTAATGATGAAGAAAGAAGGAGGCCGCTGGTATCATGTAACATCGTCCGATCAGACATCACTTCCTTAATGATAGAGAAAGACGGAGGCCGCAGGTATCATATAACGTCGTCCGATCAGACATGCCTTCCTTAATGATAGAGAAAGAAGGAGGCCGCTGGTATCATGTAACGTCGTCTGATCAGACATCCCTTCCTTAATGATAGAGAAAGAAGGAGGCCGCAGGTATCATATAACGTCGTCCGATCAGACATCCCTTCCTTAATGATAGAGAAAGAAGGAGGCCGCTGGTATCGTGTAACGTCGTCCGATCAGACATCACTTCCTTAATGATAGAGAAAGAAGGAGGCCGCTGGTATCATGTAACGTCGTCCGATCAGACATCACTTCCTTAATGATAGAGAAAGAAGGAGGCCGCTGGTATCATGTAACGTCGTCCGATCAGACATCACTTACTTAATGATAGAGAAAGAATGGGGCCGCTGGTATCATGTAACGTCGTCCGATCAGACATCACTTACTTAATGATACACAGGCTTAGAGAAAACCGCGAAAAAGGACATTCATAGGGTTCATTGGTCCGATACAACGCGCTATTTCTACAGTTACCGACGGCAGTTTTCGGGCATGGACATGTAACGAGGCATTGTACAATTGTTGAGAACTGTTTGACAATCAGACTGGTGACTAAATCATGGTGTCCATACTTCGGGGCATTCACGTTTTTGTGTATTCCTCTGAGATTGCAAGTAAATTGTTAATACCAAATTCAATTTCAGTTTGTGTATTCATCAGAGTAAAATAATCCGAGTTTCCATTTTGATACGCAGAATTTGGTTTGCAAAGCATGCTAGAATAATGCTCATGTATATATACTTCCTATCAAAAGTTTAGACTCACTTGTGTAAATATAGCCACTTACTTAATTTTGCAAAATATTCCATACCGTTTAAAATATGAACTGTATTGTAACGTTGAAAAGAATATTGTCATGAGTTCAATAAATTATAAAAATCAGTAAAATTTGGGGATTTTTAACAAAACTTTACACCAAAACGCAGCTATTCACACGCACGATATTTGCACATGCTTTTCAGCAATTTGATGCATGATCCTCGTGCAATTCATCTGCATAAAGTTTGCATATACATAGCATAAAGTGAGTGTTTTAATTGAGTCTAAACTATTGATGGGAAGTATATATGACTTCAGTTTGGTACATTGTTTAAGACTTCGTTTTCCAGACACCGGTGATTATGCGGTTTCGCTACCCGCGAGGAGTGAGGGTTACAGTACAGGCTGACTGTGAAGGGTGAGTGGCGACATATAGGTGGACAGCTCGATATCCACTTAAGGGTTGACAAATACTTTGAGTGAGTTGTTTGGAGTATATACCTTCATAAAATGACCAAGCAAAGCTCTGAAGCTCACACAGGTTTTCACTCTGCCTGTACAGGTTCATTTTCGAAAGAACTCACAAAATGAATGTCAATTTTTATACCTTTTTATAGTGAGTGAGTTAATATTTATCGTCACATCGCAATGTATCAGCCATATCGTGACGTGAACAATGAATTGAATCTGATTTCAATGGCATCACGATGACCATACCTCCGTATATTAGAGACTTGCTTCTGTAAGAGATCGGTACTCGCATCGCAAATACGGTACCCTCATCTCCAGAAAATTACATTTCATATCAGATGGTCTTTGTTACGTCTGACCATGTCTGTAAATGAAGTACTAGTCCTATATATTGCTTCTATTTTATGGCGGATGGTAACCAGTCATCAGGATTACACAATGTCATTTAGAAATCGGTAACATGTGTTATATTTGGGATTACACTTTCTTAGTAAAGTACAGATTCTAGTACTTTTTTATTATGAGGTTGGAGGCGCAAACGTAAAAAACGTGACGAGATTTTCAAACTTCTTACTGAATTTATTCGATCAGTCGGCCGATTATAACCTTATGAGTATGATTATGAAAAGTGATTATGGCCAAAGAGAAACCGAAGAATAGTGTCCGGGAAATCGCAACGATATCCGTGGGTTGGATGTGCAGCTGGCTGTTTTGTTGACTAATGGTTGTGGAGAGGATATAAGTTATATGCACAGGCATGCAGTCAAATCTGGTACTATTGCCAATGAATGCGTAAACACATAGTCTTACATTAAAGAGTCAAAGTGATCGCAGATAATGCTTCTCAATTTGTTAATGTTACGGAATTCCAACAAGGGTGTCCGAATGAATATTATGATTGTTAAGTCTGTAGCAATTTATCTCAAACATGTTTTCACTGTGCGTAGCCATGAATGCAACCATGAATGTAACCATAAGTTCACGTGACTTGCTTAGTATTTTGTAACATCAACAATTGTAATGTAGGCCTTAAGGCCAGAATTACTGAATAAACTGAATCTGAATCTGCATGAATACGGAAGGGGTCCGTCGTTGTTAACGTATTTTGTAATAAAACACCGTCTCTTGAACGTCAAAATGTGTCGTTCGTAAAAGAACGTCAGTTTCAGGTCAAATGACTGGCCTCTCGTCCATTTGTAAAGTCTTATATTGTGTAAATCTCGCGTGAAATAATATTTGAAAGATATATTCGAAAGTGCATAAATAAGTTTATAATTTAGAATCCGAAATAAAAGTTCCTTATCATTTTCAAAGGGCTTTTCAAATGTTCGAATTTTAACAAATGTTTAATCTTTTTAGATTTGAATGGAAGAAGAAAATCGCGAAATGCCCGACATCAAATGGAAATGTGGTGAGATAACTTAATATGTGTATTAGTTGTCACCTTGAGTGCATGTTGTCCTGCGTCGTCACAGCCCCATTGACATTGTCGAATCAAGAACATGTAAAACCAGTGGTTGATAGCATGAACGACGATCCGTACACAATCCAAACAAGACATAGCACTCGTTGCGACACACCGTCATTATTAATGGCGGCACGTACGGCTAAACACATCCCCAGTGCATGTGCTTTTTCAATAGTTATACCATCATGTATATTGTCTAGTACAATCTTCTAGGAATAATTAGTGGTGAGTGCCACCACGATATAAGTGAAATAAGTAAAGTGTCGTCCCCGACTCGAGTATCAGGGTTTGTTTCTGCAGGTGAATGTTACTATGACGGTCCAAATGAAGAGGTGCCTCCCTAAACCAAAAAAGTACGTTTGCAAGCTTACTATATCTCTCTGTACGCGTATTGAACAACTTCAACAAAGGCAGTCACTAAGTTTGTCATAAATTAAAATACATTAGGATAGAATGTACGATATGATGTCTGTCATATAGGGAATCAAGGACAACTTATTGACATAAAGCCATCTTATGCAGTTGAAGATGTAGTGTTTGGAAACAGTCGAAGCTGACGTGCTGAGAAGGTTGCTGAGCTGCATAGCCGTGCCAGAATCTTGGACAACGGTTCGTGCTGTGGGTATCACGTACTGATGGGTATCACGCACTGATTGGTATCATCGTTAAACGCATTTAATTTACTTTGTGTCTCACCCTGAACTTAATGGGACTGGCCTGGTAACTCAGTAATTACAGTCTTTGTTCCCCCCTTTCAGGATCAAGGTGATTGTTGGCAGCTTTAAAAAGAGGCCCCTGAAGGTTCTCCTCACCTCGGTGTGTCGTTGTGACTGCGAAAAACCAGACGAAGCTGTCGTGAGTAGATTTATAACATAGAACATAGATTTTGTTAATTCCATGACTTATTAAGTCATGTCGATAGAATCTTTGTCGTCACAGTGTTTTTTGTATTAACTATGATGTCGAGCTACGAAAACGTTTTTCCCCGCCTTTTCACAGATATTTATGGTCTTGCGCACTTCGATGGCATAGTTCTATCTGTTTGTTCAAACGACTTGTTGTAAAAGATAAGAATTGTGACTGAAACGTAATGAGTCCAACTATGATGGATTGCGATTAAGACATTGGTTGAGGAGCATTTTTCAGCAAAACCTTAGCACACTTGCCAATACTGGTGGAGTGTCTGGATTCCAGCTGTTTAAATGCCAACCCTACGTCTCAACCACTGTTAAAGTCCATAGAGTAAGCTGTATGTTAAACCTGACCGTGATCAAGGGATAGCTTTGTCTGGAAAAGCACAACAATCTGTTGCCATTGCCCATTATGAAAAATGGGATTTTTTTTTTACATTACCCGCCCGGTAAGAAACGTTTGTTCCAATTCCCCGTTTTGGCTTCTAACATATGTTCCCGTGTTTTTCACGGAAACAATTGACTTGCCATTGCATCTATTGTATGATAAGTTCCACCAGTGGGACTGGATACGTTCCCCTTGTATCAGCACTACTAGATATTGATTCATGGTACCATGTTCATGGTACAATGGCTTTTAGTAGACTTCTTCTAATTATGAAAGCAGGTTTTGGTGGTTTGATGGGAGTAATTTGTTCGAGTGTGTAGATTAGTGGATCTATTTGTCTGATCCCAGGAGACTGACTGTTTCCCTCTCTGTTACCAAAGATCGAGTCGGTAGTGTGCCACAAGCAAGGAACGTACGCGTGTGGGCTTTGCTCTTGTAATGAAGGCAGGTATGGAGATAACTGTGAGTGTGGCGGCAGGGATCAGTGCATTGCCCGGTAAGTTGTGAATTAATGTGAGTTGATTATGCTGAAAAGGTATTTGACTTCTGCTACGGCTTGTTAGCGTAATGTGTTAGAAAACAGCGAGTCACGTTTGGACGTATACCACGCTATGGGTGTATACAGAAATATCCTGATGGCGATGGGCGATCCGGACCCAAAATCCCAGATTTCTGGGACTATTCAGTAGTTGTCGCGCCGAAGACAACATATTTCTGGGACTATTCAGCAGTTGTCGCACCGAAAACCACAGGTTTCTGGAACTATTCAGCAGTTGTCGCGCCGAAGACCCCAGGTTTCTGGGACTATTCAGCAGTTGTCGCACCGAAGACAACAGGTTTCTTGGACTATTCAGCAGAATTTCCGTCGAGGACCACAGGTTTCTGGGACTATTCAGCAGTTGTGGCACCGAAGACCACAGATTTCTGGGACTATTCAGCAGAATTTCCGTCGAGGACCACAGGTTTCTGGGACTATTCAGCAGTTGTGGCACCGAAGACCACAGGTTTCTGGGACTATTCAGCAGAATTTCCGTCGTGGACCACAGATTACTGGGACTATTCAGCAGTTGTCACACCAAAGACCACAGATTTCTGGGACTATTCAGCAGAATTTCCGTCGTGGACCACAGATTTCTGGGACTATTCAGGAGAATTTCCGTCGTGAACCACAGATTTCTGGGACTATTCAGCAGTTGTGGCACCGAAGACCACAGATTTCTGGGACTATTTAGGAGAATTTCCGTCGTGGACCACAGATTTCTGGGACTAATCAGCAGTTGTGGCACCGAAGACCACAGATTGCTGAGACTATTCAGCAGTTGTCGCACCGAAGACCACAGATTTCTGGGACTATTCAACAGTTGTCGCACCGAAGACCACAGATTTCTGGGACTATTCAGCAGAATTTCCGTCGTGGACCACAGGTTTCTGGGACTATTGAGCAGTTGTCGCACCGAAGACCACAGCTTTCTGGGACTATTCAGCAGTTGTCGCGTCGAAGACCACAGATTTCTGGGACTATTCAGCAGTTGTCGCACCGAAGACCACAGGTTTCTGGGACTATTCAGCAGTTGTCGCGTCGTGGACCACAGATTTCTGGGACTATTCAGCAGTTGTCGCCACAGATTTCTGGGACCACAGATTTCTGGGACTATTCAGCAGAATTTCCACCGAAGACCACAGATTTCTGGGACTATTCAGCAGAATTTCCGTCGTGGACCACAGATTTCTGGGACTATTCAGCAGTTGTCGCACCGAAGACCACAGATTTCTGGGACTATTCAGCAGTTGTCGCACCGAAGACCACAGATTTCTGGGACTATTCAGCAGTTGTCGCACCGAAGACCACAGATTTCTGGGACTATTCAGCAGAATTTCCGTCGTGGACCACAGGTTTCTGGGACTATTCAGCAGTTGTCGCACCGAAGACCACAGCTTTCTGGGACTATTCAGCAGTTGTCGCGTCGAAGACCACAGATTTCTGGGACTATTCAGCAGAATTTCCGTCGTGGACCACAGATTTCTGGGACTATTCAGCAGTTGTCGCACCAAAGACCACAGATTTCTGGGACTATTCAGCAGAATTTCCGTCGTGGACCACAGATTTCTGGGACTATTCAGCAGAATTTCCGTCGTGGACCACAGCTTTCTGGGACTATTTAGTTGTTGTCGCGCCGAAGACCACAGATTTCGTGATCTAGTCGACAGAGCGTCTGCCCGGAGAGCAGAAGGTTGGAACTTCTTATTGCATTATACGCGAAGACGTACAAAGACGTCACTCGTATCTTACACTTAAATCTAGAGTATAAGCTTTTGTCTTCGGGCCGCCTCTACACAGTGCCAATCACCAAGACTAAACAAGCTCGAACGTCTTTTGTACCTCAAAGTATTACAATTTTAAACAAATGTTGAATGTCCAGTTTTCATCTTATTCATTTATTTCTATTTAAGCACATATTTATCTCTCTTTATGTTTTTAGTAGTGTTATATTTTATATGTTGTTATTCATTGTGAACCAAACCGAATTCCTTTCAAGGTAATAAAGTATTGTCTGTATGTCTGTCTGTCTGTCTCTTCCTGCAGCTCGGCACCAATAGGATAAAACAAGGACAGGCTGAAGGTGTTTGATGTTACATGCCTTACTGCTGCCTACATGTCACCAGTAAAACTTTATTACATATTTAAATGTGTTTTAACTATAATAGTTCACTTCAAAAGTATCATTTGCTACACTACCTGTGAGGGTACAGCAATCTTTACTCTTAATAACAACGATACATAATTGAGTCTGGACTTCAATTTGGATACGATGACACACCATGTCTCCAGATCTTCAAACATGTCAGGAGTGGTCAAGGTACCATTCCTCATAGGCACTATACATTTCTGTGGGCACCCGTCGCGATAATTCTGGCATATTTCTGAAAGCTTCAGAAAACCATACTTTTTCACTCACTCACTCATGTCTGTAATGAAGGAGTATAACATAAGTGCTGTGGTTGCTGCTGCAGAAACGCATTCATGATTTGGTTACCATGAGGACTGCTTATACAGTATACTAAGTGGTGCAAACAAGTAGAAAACTGAAAAGCGTTGAAGGTTACTGTTGCTAAGACTGACTGACCGAGTTTGGATTTACGCCGCTTTTAGCAATATTCCAGCAACACCAGAAATGGGCTTCACACAATGTACCCATGTGGGGATTCGAACCCGGGTCTTCGGCGTGACGAGCCAACGCTTTAACCACTAGGCTACCCCACCGATCCCGATGTTGCTAAGAGATGGGGCGTAATGTCTCGGTATACTCACAGACTATCATTATTATTGTCAGTAAATTTATCATGACATAGTTAGGTGATTTTCACACCCCGTCATTTAGGGGATACCTGTACTGTGTTTGACGTACACCGGTGGTTATATAGCCGCAAAGTTTGTTATATCGGCGACGCAAACAGTCTGAATAATTCGACGCGTTTTGTGAGGCATCTCTTCCAGCTCATTTCTCCACGGATGGGACACTTTGAAGTAGAACGAGTCACTCCAAGATCAAATCTGCAAGCTCTATTCTGAACTGAATTTATGCAGCTGTATTCCTCCGTATCCCATACCGCAGATCCATATAATAGAACTGGCTGAACAAACGCGTTTAGTGAATGTTTCATATGTCATATCTCCTGCTTCAATCCACTTTATCTGGAGACAGGACAGAGCCCGACTCGCTGATTTGGCTATTTCCTCACTGTGACACTTAGATCTGAGTGTTCATGATCAAGGAACCATAGTCCTAAATATATATATATTTATCCACTATTTCTATATTATCACTTCCACATGAAAACTTAACAGGAGTAGCTTGACAATTGTTGGGACGAACATGAACAACTTTGGTTTTGTCTGCATTCAATGTAAGTTGCCACTTTAAACACCACTTGTCAACAACATTTAATTAAACATAGATTGTAGACTTTCTTCGTTTGGGGCTAATAACACAATGTCGTCACCAAAGAGCATCAGGGATATGGTGATGTTGTCAACTTATATTCCACAGTTGAGAGACTTTATGTCTACCATGTCGTTTATATATATGGAGAACAGTGTTGGTGTTGACATCCCTGCTTCACTCCCTGGGTTAAGTTGAAACTTGAATGTGTATAGCCACTCACTCTCCACGAGCACTGGTCGTCTGTGCCACAAACTCCAGTTTTACATAATTTGTACCACATACACTCTCGATCAACATTATCGAAAACTTTCTTGAGATCAACAAATCCAGCGTATGTTGGTTGATTAGAAGTTTTTCTGTCTTCAATAAGTGTAAACAATGTGTATATATGTGCCATGCATCCCCTTTTTTCTAGACCGCCTCAGTGGTGTAGTGGTTAGAGCGTCCGCCCGGAGAGCGGAAGGTCGCGGGTTCGATCCCCGACCGCGTCATACCAAAAGACGTTAAAATATGGTACTTGTTGGTCCCTGCCTGGCGCTCGGCATTAATGGGTTCAGCAAGGACTGATCGGCTCGGAGTCAGTATAATGTGCCTGAGTGGGGTATTCATGCTTCACTGCGGCATGGTATCTCAGTGGCCTAGCAGTATAAAACCAGCCTAAGTCTGGGCTAGTACAAACAGCCGCACATACACATACACATGCATGCACGTCGTCATATGAGAGAAATATTCTCAAGTACGACGTTAAACCCAATTTCACCTCACCTCACCCCTTTTTGCTTCTGAATCCGTTCTGCTCATCTGCCAAAATATTGTCATCTTCAAGGAAATGCGACAGTCTTTGGTTTAAGATATAACAGTAAGGTGTACATGGCACAGAAATTAGGGTAACAACTCTAAAGGTTAATGGTTTTCTTAAGTCTGTACTTCCTGGTTTATTATGTGCATACTGACTAAATCTGGCAATGGTGAATAAATCATAGTGTTATAGCTAAAATTATCATGAAACCTCCCTCTAGTTAACAGAAATGAGCGGGCCACTGCAAATGATAATGGCCCGCTGATTCCTCAACTATGGGCCATATTGACGTCATAAATCGTGTTCCATGATCTAACGGTATTGGGTCAACAGCCCGTTGCGAGTCAGTCGTGTGAACTTACAACTGAATTTATGATACAGTAACTGTTTTGTCTTTTTTAACACAAAGTCCATCCATTTTAACGGGATAGGGGCGAATTAATTGACCTCATGCTTCTGCAAATGTCAGTGCCCTGAAAAAAAGCTTTACCCAAATAGCGTAGGGAAACATTCAAAGGTTTTGGTGAATCGGTTTTCAAATTGCTGATTATACGGTTGGAAATTTACAGCACTGACCAATCAGAACAAGTGTTACATACTAAGTCGAATTAGGATCATTGATAAACACTATTTTTGTTCGGGACAATCACCTATTTGATCTGGCCAAAGCTTAACGTCATCAAATTCACTCTTTTGGTTAAAATATATTTCATATTTCCCCATCTTCAAGTATTCTAATGAAAAATGATAATTCAGTTGAAATTAATTATTTGTAAATATGTTTAGGAACTAGCGTTCTTAATTGATGCAACTGATGCCAAACCTTTTTTTGCCGTGAATATGCACACGTTATACAGGTATTGTTCTTCGTAATGACGTACATTGGTTTCCACTTTCAGAGGTATGACTGAGGAGTGCTCTGGTCGCGGCACGTGCTTCTGTGGAAGATGTCAGTGTAACTCGGTAAGTATGCGAGCACATTTGCTCAATAAGCACGTCCTCCCACAAACTCTACCCTGACGTCATGCTCGCTACAGACCGCCAGGAGAGTAAAAACGAGAGGAGTGAGTGAGTGAGTTGAGGTTTACGCCGCACTCAGCAATGTTCCAACTATATGGCGGCGGTCCGGAAATAATCGAGTCTGGACCAGATAATCCAGTAATCAACACTAGGAGCATCGATCTGCGTAATTGGGAACCGATGACATGTGTCAACCAATTCAGCAAGCCTGACCACCCGATCCCGTTAGTCGCCTCTTACGACAAGCATGGGTTACTGAAGGCCAATATTCTAATTCGGATCTTCACGGGTCAAAGACGGGAGGCGGAGTATTGAGCGTCTGCACTACATCAGGAGGTCGATGGTTCGATCCTGTAGCCTCTTCTTATCAAAAGACGTTAAAAATATCACATGCTCTTAACTTGACAGGGGCTTGGCATGATGGGGATAATGGACGACATGGAGTCATAAGCACATGCCTGCATCCACACAGATGAATCATCTTGAACGCCATGTTAGATTTTGTCTTTGTTATTTTATTGTTAGTCAAGCCTGTCACTTAGCTACGATCATGTAGTGACTTTTTTTGCAGAATCCGAGACCATATCGTATCATTATCTTATAGAATCTTAAGCTTATTTTACACTGTCTTTTATACAGTTCTTCAATATAACTGTACACTGTCTTTAAATGTGAACAGTTTTGACTTTGGGGAGCACAGAACACTGCGAACGGTTTCTTATGTAGATAATATATAGGTGTACGAACAGTTTTGAATTAGGCAAACGTATGGCACTACGAACAGTTTTGAATGAGGAGAACGTATAGTACTATGAATAATTTTATAGAACTATTAGTACTATTATAGAACTAAGAAAAGTTTTGAATGTAGTGAACATGCTTCTCAGTTACTGGATACGATTCATGAGACAAAAAACGACTTTCGTGTAAATCATAGAAAATAATTATTCATGGGCAATATTACCTCTTGTTGTTCAAGATATCCAGCACCAGTCCTGCGAGATACTCAGGACGGTTCTGTCAGTGTGACGACACAGCATGTGTGTATCACCAGGGAGAAGTTTGTGGAGGTGAGGACGCAGGTTCATACATACACTCTACACTACGTTGTTTTGTTTGTCCAACTGGTTGAAGGTAGACCTCTGTGGAGGTGAGGACACAAGTTCATACATACACTCTACACTACGTTGTTTTGTTTGTCCAACTGGTGAAAGGTAGACCTCTGTGGAGGTGAGGACGCAGGTTCACACGCACACTCTACACTACGTTGTTTTGTTTGTCCAACTGGTTGAAGGTAGACCTCTGTGGAGGTGAGGACGCAGGTTCATACATACACTCTACACTACGTTGTTTTGTTTGTCCAACTGATTGAAGGTAGACCTCTGTGGAGGTGAGGACGCAGGTTCATACATACACTCTACACTACGTTGTTTTGTTTGTCAAGGTGAGGACGCAGGTTCATACATACACTCTACACTACGTTGTTTTGTTTGTCCAACTGGTGGGTGAGGACGCAGGTTCATACATTCTACACTACGTTGTTTTGTTTGTCCAACTGGTTGAGACCCTCTGTGGAGGTGAGGACGCAGGTTCATTCATACATACACTCTACACTACGTTGTTTTGTTTGTCCAACTGGTTGAAGGTAGACCTCTGTGGAGGTGAGGACGCAGGTTCATACATACACTCTACACTACGTTGTTTTGTTTGTCCAACTGGTTGAAGGTAGACCTCTGTGGAGGTGAGGACGCAGGTTCATACATACACTCTACACTACGTTGTTTTGTTTGTCCAACTGGTTGAAGGTAGACCTCTGTGGAGGTGAGGACGCAGGTTCATACATACACTCTACACTACGTTGTTTTGTTTGTCCAACTGGTTGAAGGTAGATCTCTGTGGAGGTGAGGACGCAGGTTCATACATACACTCTACACTACGTTGTTTTGTTTGTCCAACTGGTGGAAGGTAGACCTCTGTGGAGGTGAGGACGCAGGTTCATACATACACTCTACACTACGTTGTTTTGTTTGTCCAACTGGTTGTGGAAGGTAGACCTCTGTGTTGAGGTGAGGACGCAGGTTCATACATACACTCTACACTACGTTGTTTTGTTTGTCCAACTGATTGAAGGTAGACCTCTGTGGAGGTGAGGACGCAGGTTCATACATACACTCTACACTACGTTGTTTTGTTTGTCCAACTGATTGAAGGTTGACCTCTGTGGAGGTGAGGACACAGGTTCATACATACACTCTACACTACGTTGTTTTGTTTGTCCAACTGGTGGAAGGTAGACCTCTGTGGAGGTGAGGACGCAGGTTCATACATACACTCTACACTACATTGTTTTGTTTGTCCAACTGGTTGAAGGTAGACCTCTGTGGAGGTGAGGACGCAGGTTCATACATACACTCTACACTACGTTGTTTTGTTTGTCCAACTGGTTGAAGGTAGACCTCTGTGGAGGTGAGGACGCAGGTTCATACATACACTCTACACTACGTTGTTTTGTTTGTCCAACTGGTTGAAGGTAGACCTCTGTGGAGGTGAGGACGCAGGTTCATACATACACTCTACACTACGTTGTTTTTTGTTTGTCCAACTGGTTGAAGGTAGACCTCTGTGGAGGTGAGGACGCAGGTTCATACATACACTCTACACTACAATGTTTTGTTTGTCCAACTGGTTGAAGGTAGACCTCTGTGGAGGTGAGGACGCAGGTTCATACATACACTCTACACTACGTTGTTTTGTTTGTCCAACTGGTTGAAGGTAGACCTCTGTGGAGGTGAGGACGCAGGTTCATACATACACTCTACACTACGTTGTTTTGTTTGTCCAACTGGTTGAAGGTAGACCTCTGTGGAGGTGAGGACGCAGGTTCATACATACACTCTACACTACGTTGTTTTGTTTGTCCAACTGGTTGAAGGTAGACCTCTGTGGAGGTGAGGACGCAGGTTCATACATACACTCTACACTACGTTGTTTTGTTTGTCCAACTGGTTGAAGGTAAGGTAGACCTCTGTGGAGGTGAGGACGCAGGTTCATACATACACACTCTACACTACGTTGTTTTGTTTGTCCAACTGGTTGAAGGTAGACCTCTGTGGAGGTGAGGACGCAGGTTCATACATACACTCTACACTACGTTGTTTTGTTTGTCCAACTGGTTGAAGGTAGACCTCTGTGGAGGTGAGGACGCAGGTTCATACATACACTCTACACTACGTTGTTTTGTTTGTCCAACTGGTTGAAGGTAGACCTCTGTGGAGGTGAGGACGCAGGTTCATACATACACTCTACACTACGTTGTTTTGTTTGTCCAACTGGTTGAAGGTAGACCTCTGTGGAGGTGAGGACGCAGGTTCATACATACACTCTACACTACGTTGTTTTGTTTGTCCAACTGGTTGAAGGTAGACCTCTGTGGAGGTGAGGACGCAGGTTCATACATACACTCTACACTACGTTGTTTTGTTTGTCCAACTGGTTGAAGGTAGACCTCTGTGGAGGTGAGGACGCAGGTTCATACATACACTCTACACTACGTTGTTTTGTTTGTCCAACTGGTTGAAGGTAGACCTCTGTGGAGGTGAGGACGCAGGTTCATACATACACTCTACACTACGTTGTTTTGTTTGTCCAACTGGTTGAAGGTAGACCTCTGTGGAGGTGAGGACGCAGGTTCATACATACACTCTACACTACGTTGTTTTGTTTGTCCAACTGGTTGAAGGTAGACCTCTGTGGAGGTGAGGACGCAGGTTCATACATACACTCTTGTTTTGTTTGTCCAACTGGTTGACACTTCACGTTGTTTTTTGTTTGTCCAACTGGTTGAAGGTAGACCTCTGTGGAGGTGAGGACGCAGGTTCATACATACACTCTACACTACGTTGTTTTGTTTGTCCAACTGGTTGAAGGTAGACCTCTGTGGAGGTGAGGACGCAGGTTCATACATACACTCTACACTACGTTGTTTTTTGTCCAACTGGTCCAAGGTAGACCTTGTGGAGGTGAGGACTAAGGTGACCTCTCTGTGGAGGTGAGGAGGTTCATACATACACTCTACACTACGTTGTTTTGTTTGTCCAACTGGTTGAAGGTAGACCTCTGTGGAGGTGAGGACGCAGGTTCATACATACACTCTACACTACGTTGTTTTGTTTGTCCAACTGGTTGAAGGTAGACCTCTGTGGAGGTGAGGACGCAGGTTCATACATACACTCTACACTACGTTGTTTTTTGTTTGTCCAACTGGTTGAAGGTAGACCTCTGTGGAGGTGAGGACGCAGGTTCATACATACACTCTACACTACGTTGTTTTGTTTGTCCAACTGGTTGAAGGTAGACCTCTGTGGAGGTGAGGACGCAGGTTCATACATACACTCTACACTACAATGTTTTGTTTGTCCAACTGATTGAAGGTAGACCTCTGTGGAGGTGAGGACGCAGGTTCATACATACACTCTACACTACAATGTTTTGTTTGTCCAACTGGTTGAAGGTAGACCTCTGTGGAGGTGAGGACGCAGGTTCATACATACACTCTACACTACGTTGTTTTGTTTGTCCAACTGGTTGAAGGTAGACCTCTGTGGAGGTGAGGACGCAGGTTTTGTCATAACTGGTTGATACACTCTACACTACATACATACACTCTACACTGTTTTGTTTGTCCAACTGGTTGAAGGTAGACCTCTGTGGAGGTGAGGACGCAGGTTCATACATACACTCTACACTACGTTGTTTTGTTTGTCCAACTGATTGAAGGTAGACCTCTGTGGAGGTGAGGACGCAGGTTCATACATACACTCTACACTACGTTGTTTTTTGTTTGTCCAACTGAGTTGAAGGTAGACCTCTGTGGAGGTGAGGACGCAGGTTCATACATACACTCTACACTACGTTGTTTTGTTTGTCCAACTGGATTGAAGGTAGACCTCTGTGGAGGTGAGGACGCAGGTTCATACATACACTCTACACTACACTACGTTGTTTTGTTTGTCCAACTGATTGAAGGTAGACCTCTGTGGAGGTGGAGGGACGCAGGTTCATACATACACTCTACACTACGTTGTTTTGTTTGTCCAACTGGTTGAAGGTAGACCTCTGTGGAGGTGAGGACGCAGGTTCATACATACACTCTACACTACGTTGTTTTGTTTGTCCAACTGATTGAAGGTAGACCTCTGTGGAGGTGAGGACGCAGGTTCATACATACACTCTACACTACGTTGTTTTGTTTGTCCAACTGGTTGAAGGTAGACCTCTGTGGAGGTGAGGACGCAGGTTCATACATACACTCTACACTACGTTGTTTTGTTTGTCCAACTGATTGAAGGTTGACCTCTGTGGAGGTGAGGACGCAGGTTCATACATACACTCTACACTACGTTGTTTTGTTTGTCCAACTGGTTGAAGGTAGACCTCTGTGGAGGTGAGGACGCAGGTTCATACATACACTCTACACTACGTTGTTTTGTTTGTCCAACTGGTTGAAGGTAGACCTCTGTGGAGGTGAGGACGCAGGTTCATACATACACTCTACACTACGTTGTTTTGTTTGTCCAACTGGTTGAAGGTAGACCTCTGTGGAGGTGAGGACGCAGGTTCATACATACACTCTACACTACGTTGTTTTGTTTGTCCAACTGGTTGAAGGTAGACCTCTGTGGAGGTGAGGACGCAGGTTCATACATACACTCTACACTACGTTGTTTTGTTTGTCCAACTGGTTGAAGGTAAACCTCTGTGGAGGTGAGGACGCAGGTTCATACATACACTCTACACTACGTTGTTTTGTTTGTCCAACTGGTTGAAGGTAGACCTCTGTGGAGGTGAGGACGCAGGTTCATACATACACTCTACACTACGTTGTTTTGTTTGTCCAACTGGTTGAAGGTAGACCTCTGTGGAGGTGAGGACGCAGGTTCATACATACACTCTACACTACGTTGTTTTGTTTGTCCAACTGGTTGAAGGTAGACCTCTGTGGAGGTGAGGACGCAGGTTCATACATACACTCTACACTACGTTGTTTTGTTTGTCCAACTGGTTGAAGGTAGACCTCTGTGGAGGTGAGGACGCAGGTTCATACATACACTCTACACTACGTTGTTTTGTTTGTCCAACTGGTTGAAGGTAGACCTCTGTGGAGGTGAGGACGCAGGTTCATACATACACTCTACACTACGTTGTTTTGTTTGTCCAACTGATTGAAGGTAGGTGAGGACGCAGGGTCATACACACTCTGTGGAGGTGAGGACTGTGGAGGTGAGGACGCAGGTTCATACATACACTCTACACTACGTTGTTTTGTTTGTCCAACTGGTGAGACCTCTGTGGAGGTGAGGACGCAGGTTCACACATACCTCTACACTACGTTGTTTTGTTTGTCCAACTGGTTGAAGGTAGACCTCTGTGGAGGTGAGGACGCAGGTTCAGACGCAGGTTCACATACACTCTACACTACATACACTCTACACTACATTGTTTTGTTTGTCCAACTGGTTGAAGGTAGACCTCTGTGGAGGTGAGGACGCAGGTTCATACATACACTCTACACTACGTTGTTTTGTTTGTCCAACTGGTTGAAGGTAGACCTCTGTGGAGGTGAGGACGCAGGTTCATACATACACTCTACACTACGTTGTTTTGTTTGTCCAACTGGTGGAAGGTAGACCTCTGTGGAGGTGAGGACGCAGGTTCATACATACACTCTACACTATATTGTTTGTTTGGTCTGGCCCAGGCCTGTACATTTTGGTAATACTTTGTACTGTATCCGTCTGCAATGGCAGGGAGTGAAGGTAGATGTGATGCTATGAAATACTCCATCCAGTGAAGGAATGGTATGTCCAGACCGCAATGTCTGAAACACAATAACATAATGTCAGCTCTTGTTATCTATGGATTCACCGGAATGATTAACACCCATCCAAAAAGTTCTTCTCATCTTCTCACTGAAAATCTTAAACAGGACGTAATGCTTGATTTCGCCTGACATGTTTAAAAATAAACACAACATCGATCTTAGGTGTGCTAGCTTTCCAACAAGTTCATGCCTTGTCCAGCTGCTCCTACATGCCCACACAAGTATCCCGACATGACCGACACGACAGATGGTTCTGTTATTCTGACATGACTGACATGACTGATTGTCCTTTTCTCTCGACATGACCGACACGCAGATGGTTCTGTTATCCCGACATGACCGACATGACTGATTGTCCTTTTCTCTCGACATGACCGACACGACTGATGGTTCTAGTATCCTGACATGACAGATGGTCCTGTTATCTTTACACGACTGATGGTTCTGTTATCCCGACATGACCGACATGACTGATTGTCCTTTTCTCTCGACATGACCGACACGACTGATGGTTCTAGTATCCTGACATGACAGATGGTCCTGTTATCCCGACATGACAGATGTTCCTATTATCCCGACTTGATTGATGGTCCTGTTATCCTGACATGACAGGTGATACCTGACATGAGAGATGGTCCTGTTATCCTGACATGAGAGATGGTCCTGGTATCCCAACATGACCGACATGACTGATGATCAAGTTATTCCGACATGACTGATATGACTGATTGTCCTGATACAGACAGATCATCAGCTTGAAGCAGATTATTTAATGCTTCATGCAAAATGTGCAGCCATCTTTGATGAAGATAAGATAGACTTACGACATGTGTGGACCTATTTTAGATTTGCAACCATCTTCCGATTCTCATGCCACATTGACACTTGCACAAATTTTGCCTCAACACTGCCGCGCAATTCGTCGTGCCAATGCGTGTAATTTAGATGGTGCGCATGAAAGCCGTGAAGCCTATTTTGCGCACTGTTCGCGTCGTGTTTACGCACTTGGCACGCAATGCGTGGCCGAAAATGGTGCGTATTGTTTACGTCCAGGTCAAGTATTGTTGGCGCATTGTTTACGTCCAGTGTACGGCATGGTAAGCCCGAAGCATATTGTTCCAGCATCGGCATGCATTGCTACAACCAGCAGTCGTGGTATTATTTGGTCCCGCTTTGTCCCGCTTGACGTCACGCCATATAAATAGCAGGCATCACCCCGAGCTTCATGAATTCCTCGACTTGCTGTGGACCTACAAGATGTTGAACACCAGAGAACAAGCTCTTAATGCAGAAAAGAAAAGGTGTCTATATCGCGCAGGTGCAGCATTATTACTTCTTGAAGACCAGGAGAAAATGCAGCAAGAGCAGGTCAAAGACGAAGACGTAACCACAACTAGAAAAAGGAAAGCAAGGACAGTGTTGGTAAGGGAATGGTTGACAGGAAGACCTCACTTCGGACATTATGATCAGTTATTGACAGAACTCCAAGGAAGGAAGATCCAAGAGGCTACAGAAATTACTTGTTCCAAGAGATGGTTGAGAAGTTAACCCCTCATCTTGAGAAGAAGACCACATTCATGAGAGAACCGCTCTTCGCTTCCTAGCCACTGGTAATTCCTATTCAAGTCTACGGTACATATTTAGAGTTGAAGAACATTACAAAATTTTCTTTGCGCACTGGCACGCAGCTCCGCACAGTTTATGCACACTTCACAACAGTTTACCGCGAATTTACACATTGGCACGCAAAAAATTGAGGGGACAAAATTCGCGCAAGTGTCAAGGTGGCTTCAGGGATGCCACTGAAAACATTTTACGATAATTTAAAGGCTCAGGTTGTTTCGAAAATCGTGTCCCAGACTTTGTTTTTTTCCAGTTTATATGGAATATAACATTTCTTTCTCTCTAGGAAGAGGTCGTGGGTTGTGTATATGTGCCTGTTTCTGTCTGCCCAGGAAGAGGTCGTGGGTTGTGTACATGTCTGTTTCTGTCTCCCCGGGAAGAGGTCGTGGGTTGTGTATATGTGCCTGTTTCTGTCTGCCCAGGAAGAGGTCGTGGGTTGTGTACATGTCTGTTTCTGTCTCCCTGGGAAGAGGTCGTGGGTTGTGAATATGTGCCTGTTTCTGTCTCCCCGGAAAGAGGTCGTGGGTTGTGTATATGTGCCTGTTTCTGTCTCCCCAGGAAGAGGTCGTGGGTTGTGTACATGTCTGTTTCTGTCTCCCCGGGAAGAGGTCGTGGGTTGTGTATATGTGCCTGTTTCTGTCTCCCAGGAAGAGGTCGTGGGTTGTGTACATGTCTGTTTCTGTCTCCCTGGAAGAGGTCGTGGGTTGTGAATATGTGCCTGTTTCTGTCTCCCCGGAAAGAGGTCGTGGGTTGTGTATATGTGCCTGTTTCTGTCTCCCCAGGAAGAGGTCGTGGGTTGTGTACATGTCTGTTTCTGTCTCCCAGGAAGAGGTCGTGGGTTGTGTATATGTGCCTGTTTCTGTCTCCCCAGGAAGAAGTCGTGGGTTGTGTATATATGTCTGTTTCTGTCTCCCCAGGAAGAGGTCGACATGTCTGTTTCTGTCTCCCAGGAAGAGGTCGTGGGTTGTGTATATGTGCCTGTTTCTGTCTCCCCAGGAAGAGGTCGTGGGTTGTGTACATGTCTGTTTCTGTCTCCCTGGGAAGAGGTCGTGGGTTGTGTATATGTGCCTGTTTCTGTCTCCCCAGGAAGAGGTCGTGGGTTGTGTATACGTTCCTGTTTCTGTCTCCCCAGGAAGAAGTCGTGGGTTGTGTATATATGTCTGTTTCTGTCTGCCCAGGAAGAGGTCGTGGGTTGTGTATGTCTATCTGTTTCTGTCTCCCCAGGAAGAGGTCGTGGGTTGTGTATATGTGCCTGTTTCTGTCTCCCCATAGGAAGAGATCGTGGGTTGTGTAAATGCGGCAAGTGCGTTTGCTTCCCTGGCCACAGGGGGCCAAGTTGTGAGATCAGCATGGCTGTCGACCGGTGCAGAAACCCAGAAACTTCGGTAAAGTAGAGACTAACGGCCAACATTGTATCACTCATCTCCGATAGTTATGTCATCACTGCAGAGGTGCGTCCCTTAGACGTGACACACACCTTCGTTTTTTATTTCTTATAGTTGTTAATATTGATTTGGTTTCTATGTGATTATGAAACCAATATGGTAAATGCTTAAGAACTGCATTTATTTGGTATGCTATTCGTACAACACTAAACGGTGTTAGATCATTCTCATCCTTTGTAACTGCCTAGCAGCCTTATGTGATAGTGAGTGTCTCTGTGTGTGTGGAGGATAATCATTACATTGTAGGCTTATTTATATTTCAGATGTTGTGTAGCGGGCTTGGCCGCTGTGTTGATAACGTATGTGAATGCGAAGAAAGGCTTGAGGTAACACAGATCCAGTATCTCAATCAGTCCTATTTCAGTCTGTTACTGTTAAAATACTGATAAAATATCACGGATTCTGTGGGAATATGAGGGGAAATATTCTTCGCCATTCGATAATACCGTATCAGAAGCCAATTCGGAAGTACATTTTCACATGTTTAAACGTGTATCGTGCAGATTTATTGGAGGACAGTCAAAATAACCTCTGTTTTGCCACTTCCTCAGATATCAATATAATAATAATGTTGTCTTTACCCACTTGACATATGTACACCTGTATACTTACTTTGACGCCATATTAGCATTTGTATTGGACTGGATTTATCCAGTATCCAACTTGAACGCCGTATGCCACGTTCTTCTGTCATGTTACAGCCAGTAACTGGTAAGCAGAGGATAAGCGGCCAGTACTGCCAGTGTGACAGCGGATCCTGCGACTACTTTAATGGAATGATCTGTGGTGGTGGGTGAATATGTTCCAAGGTGTATTATCATGTATATCTTAGAAACAACTGAAATCGTGTATTATCATGTATATCATAGAAACAACTGAAATCGCTCTTCCAAGATTGTAAACATGAACATAGTGTGTGACACAGATATGTGACGGTGTGGGGTTCTGTACGTAGAGCTCAGGTCAGAATCAGTTGAAGTCGAGCAACGTTGAGCGCCGAAAGTCACTGGATGGGTGACCGTGTTTGGCAGCTTGACTCCTGAGAGTTTCCGGGACTTCAGTCCTGCCCCACAGCGAAGCACATGTGATACATGTGGCCTCACCTTAGGGTTTGTTAAAAATTGCCTCTGTTCACTCAGCAGTAAAACTGGATACCTGGTATGATACGATGGTAGTCTGAATTTGAACCTTGAGCGCCTGACAGGCGACTGGTTGTATTCTCCACAGGAAATGTTCTGTACTCGTTGTCCAGGGGTAATATGTCAGCGCTTTGAGCATGCAGTGTGCATGGATAAATGCACAATATAATGAATTTTCTCATCACATATCTCGTTTAATCATGGTAGGCACAATGTGATTGGTAGGTGGGGAGATTTTGGTCGCATGAGAATCTTCAAAAATGATATATACATGTATACAGGTTTTGAAGATGAGGTTTTTTAGTTATTCACAAAAAAATAATGTATTCAGGTTCTGATCCAATGAAATAGTCAGTCGCTTTTCATCCTTGTGAAGCTTATCACCTGGGACGTCTTTCTCATTACAACAGCTGCCATAGAATATATATTTAGAGGTTGACATAAATCAGCCAGACTTCACCAAATATATTTTCAGCCTCTCTACAAGAAGATCTGGTTAATTTAAATCATCACACACGTAATATAAGAAAATGTGAATAATAGACCCCCTTTACATGTAGACTGGAATTTATAAAAAAAAATGTAATGTAGTTTCCAATTTTGAAAGGTTTTGCATATTTGACAACACATTTGAACATGTCGGCATTCCTCCTGCAGTAGATACTGTTGTTGTGGGTAGATAATTCATCGTCCGTGATCAGATGTGAATGTATAGTTATTACTATGTTTCACCTTTAAATTGGCAGATAGCCATCATGTATACGACATACCTTTCTCTGTTTAAAATAGCACATCTTATGGAAGTATCGTTAAGATTACAAAACTAAATCAGAGGAACAATCGTTTCACCATCAACGGTGATGTTGCAGGTCGTGGACGCTGTTCGTGTGGTCAGTGCATCTGCAACGACGGCTTCAGCGGGGAAGACTGCAGCTTCGACATGTCTGTTGATAAATGCAAAAGTCCCGCTACAGGGGTACCGTACACTTTTCAAAACCTTTAACTTTTACTACGTTCAAGTAAATGCATATGTTTGTGTTTATCACTTTGTTAAAGTATGATATTCCAATCAATATTGATACGCGTTGTGTATTGGAGTGGAATTGTTACTTAAAGTCAATACAAATCAGTAAAATCGTAAGTTGGGGGGTTACAATGCTTTGCTTTCTTGTCAACCTTTCCCACCTTCTGAAGAACAATCAAGCATGCTCTCTCTTTCAGCGAAGAACTGTTTTGGCTGGGTTACAGCATTCAAAGCACCATTATGACATTAAAAACGCAACATTGTGTGGTGAAAACTCACCAAACTGATTGACCCAATCTAACGCAACCAGTGACTGTTGAAATTCACTAATGTGACCTGTACCATATATTTCCGCATGACGGAGCGCAACTGGTTGAACAATTATATATATATGACAGAAAACGTAAAGCTGTTTGACCGAAAAGAACATTCAACATCTCAGCATTCACCTGATGAAGGAGCACGAAGTAGCCTCGAAACGTCATATAAAGTTATTATCCAAAAAATGTGGCATGCATTCACTAAAAGAAGATTGTTCTGTATCGTGGATGTCTGTACCAAAAAACTCATGTATTCTGTAAAACGCTCAGCATATGATGTTTTCCCAACTTTCAGCTGATCTGCAATGGCCACGGGGACTGTGTCAGTAACCGGTGCATGTGTGAGCGTCCCTATGCCGGGCCCTGGTGCGAGGAATGTCCGGTACGTGGATCTGGTCATATTTTCGCAGCTTACCTTGCGTAACCTAACGCTCTGGTTGCCAGGATCCCCTGGTCATTACTCACAATCTAACATTGTTTCCGAGAATGGTTGTGAGCACAATACCCGGGCTCAAGGAAGACAATTCCAAATTTTAAAAATCCATTTTTCGAGGCTACTCCGTATTTTGAACTGAAGCGTATATTCCCATGTTTATTTTTCTGGGGAAAGCTTGACTTGCCTTTCCGTGAACACCTGATTATTTATTTCGGTTCATAAACTCATGATTACGATATAGTGCCTAGTCCGAATGTAACGATGGACCTCGCTTTTGGTTATGGTTAGATCTCCCCTCATCCAAGGGACAGCTATTTCTGTAATGGATCTTATTGGTAATGACCCGTCTCATTTACGAATTTGCATTTTGAAAGAAATTGAACTAATTTATGTTTTTGAATTTGTGCACGCAGTTACTATTCCGTTCTTGTCGCCGAGACGTAAAACCAGTCTATCACCGTAAAGTGACTGTCCCTATCTCTCAGTTGTCCGAGTTGCTCGGATGGTCGCCCTTGTCTATCATTGTTAGACTGGTGACTTGATTCTCTACCTGGATAATGGTATACTTTATGCATGTATGTATTAATCATGTGTTATCTCATACATGTTGGCAACTTTACTCGTGTTTCGAAACTGTTTTTGTAAATTGATCGTCACGTAGTATCCTGATTATTTAGAGCCTGTATACATTGCTCATGTATTTATTGTCAGTTTTGCCACCTCAATAATTGTACATATCTAAATGTATATCTTTTGTGGTAGGTTACATAGCTTGTTTTCAGACCTGTATTTTGATGCTTACATCCTAAATATTGATTAAGATGTGGAGTTGCTGTTCAGGTTTCTTAATGTCATCAAACACATTTGATCTTTTCACCAGGCAATTGCTTTCCACCGGCTTCCAGGTTACCCTGTACGAGATTCACGCACGCTGGTTGCACGATGTCCAAATCATGTATCTTTACCTTAAGGAGTCGCTAGGCAGTTTAGATATTTTCTGGGTGGTCATTCGGAATTCAGCTTATCTGTTTTAAACTTCTTTTTACTAGTACTGTGGGTATAGAAACTCCGAAGGTGGTGTACCGTGTATTGTTAAGAAATTTAGGATTTCATCCGCTTACGCATTTAGCTAAAAGTAATAGAATTGTGAACTTTTACCACGTTTTCAATCATTCTTGTTTAATGACACCCTGGTCTCACGATATAAAACTCAGATTGTTTGAGGCTGTAAAGGGCCGGGGTTTAAAGTACCGTGAGCAGATAGCCCACTAGAGAGGGTATATAAGACCACATCTTTCGAAGTATTCCTGATTCGTTTTAATCGTAGAATCATTGGTTGTTATGACTTTGGCTAAACTTGCTGATAATCAACAGCAACTAGATGGGTGCTGCAAGTGAAAGTAGCGGAAGTACCCATGGTCCCTAGTGTGGTGGCCTAAACTTGCTGATAATCAACAGCAACTAGCTGGGTGCTGCAAGTGAAAGTAGCGGAAGTACCCATGGTCCCGAGTGTGGTGGCCTAAACTTGCTGATAATCAACAGCAGCTAGATGGGTGCTGCAAGTGAAAGTAGAGGAAGTACCCAGGGTCCCTAGTGTGGTGGCCTAACTGTGGGTACTGGCGATCTACAGCCCGCTTTTTATAATGTGTTGTTATGTAGTGGAACACCGAGGAGTCGTTGCTGCTTTTTAGTACAATCATTACCCCGTCCCAGTTTCTGTCTTGGTTTGCGTTTATTGTGGGCAAGCCTCAAGGCCCAGAGCTACCTTGGAAGTCCATATCTTTGTCTGAGAATTTGTGGTAGCATCATTGTTAACGCTTCGAATCGCTCCGCTGGAAACCCGGGGATTAATTGCCATCATCAGCACATTGTGTTAATGTAGGGATGATACTTAGAGCGGAGATAAGGGTCTCTCATTGGTCATCTTTCCCCCACAGACGTGTCCAGGCCAGTGCCAGATGTTGAAGGACTGTGTCATGTGCTTCGCGTTTAGTAGCGGTCCGCTCCACCAAGACGCTTGCCAACAACGGTGCCAGCACCTAAAAATAGAGGTGGTCGATGATGTTGCGGTGATGGAGCGTGGTGGTCCAAGTAAGCATTTGCGACTGAGTTGGACAACCGTAGCTGTTTAATCGATATGTTTGACTTCAATATTTCAAGCTCTGATGTTTCTGTTCTTGTTAGCCATTCCGTTAGTTCTACTGCTAACAATTGAACAAAATGGTCGATTAGTGAGTGAGTGAGTTTAGTTTTACGCCGCGCTCAACAATATTAGTGAATTGTTGCGGAGTAGAACGTGATACATTATCATGGTTAGTTTTGTAGGTTATTGTGTTTGAAAGGTCGAGCTACTATAAGATGACTATTCATGATATGATATTTAACATATGAGGCAGGTTAGTCGTAAGGCCGGCCGTAAGTTTTGATTTTTTTTAGTTGAATACTTTCTTTATTACCGAAATTTATACACTGGGACCTACAGTACGATGTGTAGACATGCGATTTTACTTATGTATTGATTTTAAGTTATTTGTAGTTATTATAAACAACCATAACACATATACCTTAGCTTTTCACACGTGCTGCATATTTGTAATTTGGTAAGATATTCTGGTTTCGTCGTTAGGGTTACCGAGAGCAGTAATTTGGGGTGAATGTCTCTCCACTGCAGCTGTCTTTGTGAACAGACCAAACCAGAAATATATAACAGCTATTGGTCTTCGTCAATTGTTCCATCATTCTATTTTCCTGACGTAAACCTTGTATGAGTAATGGATATGTATGAATGACACAGAATGAGGGCCCAAATGTATGAATGTCGGAGTGCTTAGTCTCGTTTGTCAGGGTGGAATGCTATCGGAATCTAATCTGAAAACCTGTTTCAACATACATCTAACATGCAGGATCTTTGCGAAAATCTGCTATCGTCACTATTTGATACTGACTCATAAGCACATAATATAGTCATTATTTACAATGGGATCCCTCTTAGCAGTCCCGTTTTTGTGTTTTGTGTTTCTCGCTATCGTTTACGTCAATGGCACGATTATGCATGGGAACTTCTTGTGTGTTTATTATATAGCTGTAAAGTTGTACAATGAGTGTGTTACATTACAGACTATCGAATGTGTCTACTCCGGGATGAGGACACGTGTCTGTTTAAGTTCGCATACGTCGCCAGTGGCCATATGCGGGTTCGTGTTGAGAGAACCAGAAGTAAGTGGACGAGTGGTTATTGGAAATACGTACAAACGTATTGAAATGCTTCAAGAGAGATCAGTATGATAAAAGATATACTTACAAAATGACTTTCAACTGACTATAGTGAGTGAGTGAGTTAATATTTATACTGACATCGGCAATATTTCAGCCATATCGTGACTGAAAAGGTTATAAATTGATAATAAATGCAATGAAATTATAAATAATTGTCGACGAAGGACAGTAAAATAACTAGATTATCACAGACAGAAACGTAAAACCAGTTATGAAATCTAAAACATTTTAACTATCGAGGACAACACAATATAAAACCAGGCTGTAGATCGCCAACAACTGAAGGTAGATCACCGTACTAGGGACCATGGGGACTAACAGTGCCGTTGCTACCTGCATGGACCCTAGTTGGATTTACACAATCCCTTCAGCCGCTGGCGGGTGTAGGAATCAACTGACTATGATATCGGTGTCGAAGAGAAACATTTTGTTATGGCCAGACAATTTCTTTAGTGCAATGGATGCAACGTGATGTCACTTAAAGAAGTTATAATATCGTGTGTCATAGAGCAAAACAAGGTCACGTTCCATCTTGAAAACCTGAGGAAATCTAAGACTGCTGGGTGTAGTAAGTGTATAAGTTCTTGTGATCAACCGCATTTATGTCTATAGCTAGTGACTTTGTGCTACACATTCACAGAACCCGCGATAAGCACATGCGCATGCATTTTCAGTTTTACATATCAGATTGATGAAACATATAATGTAGTTTATGTTTATGTTAGTAAAATAGGAGTTTTGAAGTTAAAGCTGTGACAATGTACGAGATACCGGTAATGTTTAGAGATCGTCCTTAATGTGCTTGTATCTGCCTGTTACAGTGTGCCCGTGACAACTGCTTCTCGCCATGCAGCTGTACACAGCTGGAGAAACAACTATCATCAGCTGTAGGCCGTGCAAAGTTGGCACAGGTGCAGCCACAAAAATGTACTATACCAACATGTACTGTATAGACTTTGTGTCTTATAGCAGGAAACTGAGAGCCTTGTGCTTCCACTTACCTCGGCTTCCAATTTTCTCTGATCTACTCACAACCCTCTATAGATGGCTTCAGTTTAAAAAAAATCTTTTTATTACCCGATATTGGTGAAAGTTGCTTGGTTATTTTAATAATGTTTCTGGGGTCTCATTCTTTTGTATCTAAACTGAATCAGCAGATAAAGGTTCGTCTAAATGTCGTCAATTTGCTTGTACTGCAGCAAAACACCCAAATTCTATTATGTAAGAAAACTCCCTTTGAACTATGTAAATGAATGCATTATAATGATACAACAAATATATAAAGATATGCAGAAGCAAGTCATTGCTCGCTGAGAAAAGAAAGTGTTTTTTTTCTAATAATGTGTATGCTAAGTCGATTAAATAAACAACCACGTCGTATCAGTTGGCCCCACAAAGTAAATATAGCATTACATTTGTAATAAAGAATAGTTATACCGTTTTATGTTTGTGAATGTGTTGAACAAAACATGGCGGGTCGATACTGTACTGGCTGGCACCTACTGTTCTCCAGCCTTATGTGCCACTGAAGGACAATACACCACTGCTGCACAAATCATATGTTTATCTATACACAGTCATGGCATTCATATATACCATTTAAAAAAAGTAGGGGATATTGGATTTACAAGATTGATAAAATGCAAATGATGAAGCCAAGGAGGAAACAGATGATGAAGAGAAATCGAGGAGAAATGTGACAATTTATTCCATTCCTTTGGAAATGTTTCAGCTGTATAGATATATATTATTTTTTCTCATATGCATTGGCATTGGCTAGTGGTATATCCCCTACTTTTTAAATGGTATATAACTGTGTCCAAGTAATGGCATTTATTTTTCCTTCAAACTAACGGTCATTTCGAGTTGAGTAATTAGTCGGTAATATGTTTGCATTCATTTACTCATTCATGCTATAACTGATTTTCTAACAAGCCAAAGGTAACGATGGATATAGGTCTACAGACACTGGAGTGGAAATGATATCTATGAAACTGATACAAGATTGAATTAAATCGTATACTGTCAGTTGTTCGGCCTGCGTATGAATTGCGCATTATTGCGCATGCGTCGGATGAAGGAGTCAATTTAATGAGCATGAAGGTAAATTCACGAAAAATTCGCATATTAGCTTGATGTTACCCTTCCCAGAGTGTACCTGCTTTGTCTAACTGTATCGCGAGACTCCTTAAGTGTGAAGATGACTGATTTAGCAACTTGGAGAGCCACAACAGGATGTTTCTTGCAACCACCCGGTTTGACACATATCAGGAAAATGGCAGACTATCAAACGTTAACGAAGTGGGACTGGGCGTCAACAAACTACAGAATGTTGTGCATCCTCGGTACACTGACGTTGATTCTTCATACGAACAGTGTGGTAAAGGTGAAATATGCATACACCAGGAATGTGCTGATTTCACACCACATCGGATTTAACCTTTGGCCTTTCATCATGTGCCCCTGCACCCGACACGGACTGCGCATGTCAGACCCAGTAACCTACTTTCCAAACGTCAACACCAACACACTTTTGTTTCTCTCAGAGGACGTGGAAGTGTACCCACGCGGGGTACGTGGGAGAGAGTTCCATTATGTCCAAAACATAATTTTTTTAACGTTGTATACTACTATACCACGTGACAAACCTGATTGAAAACGCCATATCGTGATCCATAAGGCATCTGTAAATAGTGAGTGAGTGAGTGAATTTAGTTTTACGCCGCACTCAGCAATATTCCAGCTATATGGTGGCGGTCTGTAAATAATCGAGTCTGGACCAGACAATCCAGTGATCAACAACATGAGCATCGATCTGCGCAATTGGGAACCAATGACATTTGTCAACCAAGTCAGGGAGCCTGACCACCCGAACCCGTTAGTCGCCTCTTACGACAAGCATAGTCGTCTTTTTGTGGCAAGCATGGGTTGCTGAAGACCTATTCTACCCCGGGTCTTCACGGGTCCATTTGTAAATAACGGTGGTGAACACAGATAAACTTACATAACATTTTCAGATGTTCGGGACAATTTGTCAAAATTGAAAACAAATGTAATTTGAACTTTACCGGGAAAACAGTATATGACATGCTGGACTTTCTCATTGATAACATCTTTGCAAAGGAAGTTGATCGATCAAGGTTACAACATTCAAGGCCTCAGTAAAGCTTTCAAAAGGTGTTATGGTAGATACATGGAGGGCACTTCCAAATTTGATGCATCAGTGCCAAATATGATGTGTCTTGCGATTCCCTATTTTGACGCGTATGATACGTTCCAGGATTATTTCAGGTGAACTATGCATATGTTTGTGTCGGGTTCCACCTGTGGGACAGGATACGCTTACCTTTTAGCAAACACCTGGTAACACCATTATGTGATAGTTGTTCATAAACCCATGCTCTGTCATCGTATCGCATAGTGACAATCACTGGAATATCTGGTCCAGACTAGATTGTTTACAAACAACATCGTACAGCTATAATACCGCTAAAACAAATACATACTCATGACATAGTCAGAATTAGAGGTTAGACTATTTCTTATGGAGGTGGAAAGTGTTTTATCTCTTCCATGTAACAGACGCAGTAAGAATCACCCTGTAAACACATTTTTTTTTTTAGAAATAATCAAACTGACTTTTGATCTCATTACTGGTAATAGTAATTAAGTAAAAAATAACCGAGGAAATGATGAAATATTGCAATTGTAGAAACGAAATCACAATACAAACATTTCAACAACAAGCTGTCATCAACCCCAGACAGTACCCCCAACACCGACCAATTAGGCGTGGCTAGACGTCATGGAGGTGATTAATATCATTTTAATCAGAAAAGCTACGTGACGTTTTTTCTTTTATCATGACAACGACTGATATGTTAACTATCGATAAGTACACAACTGGTGTCACCACTGGCAGCAAAGTATTGTCGGCGAACGAGCCACAACCGCCAGCATATAGACGGGTTTCCGTGCTGAACAACCAGACCGAGAAGTCTTCAGTCGGAAGTTGGTGGCCTTTGTTTTATGTCTCATCGGACGTCGAGGTGAGTTGATGAGTGTAGAATCAACATTGTTAGTTCATGGGTCATTTTCAGCGATAGTGTATATTCCACAACTATGTTATCAATACCGAAATGTATGACCTTCGTAACATTTTGACACCTAAATGTACGAAAAATAACAAAAAAACCCCAGAAATGCCTGTCTAAATTCATAAATATTTTACAAATCCTGTTAAGAAATAGTTGCTAAGACGCATGTATTATGTGTAATATATCTGTTTTGTGTTTTGCTCTTGTACCACCGTAGGTGGTTTTTGAGTGAAAAAGATTGATTGATTGATTGATTGATTGATTGATTGATTGTAGCGCAATGAAACTTTTTCCAAATTCACAAAAACCAAAGTTCTGTACAAAGTACAAAGTAAACGGGAAATTAAATTTCAAGATAAGACGTTTGAAATTCAAGAATGTACAAATGTTTTAAATATTATAAGGGTAATGCTATTTTTGAGGGCATTATCATTTGCAGAAGCCCGAGGCCTTCCATTAACTGCCCGACGAAGGAGGGCAGTTGATAAAGACTGAGGGCTTCTGCAAATGATAATGCCCTCAAAAATAGCATTACCGTTATTATTGCTAAAATACATGGAATTTGTGTTGAAAAGAAAAAGGAAACAATGAAGGAATTTGACTGTAAGTTTACCCAAAACCAACTTCTTACGGGCTTGACTGCCCGAATGCAATTACGTCATCGAACAATTCAAGTGACGTCACAACAGAAAAAGACGATATTCGACCTTGGCCTTTGACAAGACCATAGCCTGCAACATGACAAGCTATGACAGTGTTCGGTTTTGGTCCATCAACAGTCTTAATTGTGCAATTGTTAAGGTTAGCACCAACAAGAAAGCCAATATTACCGGTATTTAAAGCGGGAATTTGGGTTGCTTTGACTTGTTTGACCCAGAATATCTGCCAGTCGAAAGCCACTAATGTCGAACTATGACGTCAGTTGACAACAGAACTGATAGTGGCCCGTCGTTAAGGTTGAGCGGTCCAATATCATTTGCAGCGGACCGCAAATTTCTGATAACAGGAGGGCCGTTTCATGATAATTCCATGTATTTTAGCTATAAAGTCTGTTAAGTTTACTCTTTCGCATTTATTCGATGAGGATTCATATGATACAGTTCCTGTTGTTTGCAGTGTTTCGGAGACTTGTCAGCTCTAGGACGTTTTGAAAACGTTTCTAATTGTTTGATCTACTCCAGTTGTCGAGTGGGTACTCTGTTTGCCCAGCAGATTTTAATAAGTTTATGAGATTCTATGTGAATATACGACTTTGTATGAACGCACGTATCATTGATGCAACCGTCATGACTAAAACACCGCACTTTGATGTCGTTTCCGTGCACATCTACCAGCGCTATATGAACCGAGAAGCAAAAGGACCTACACCTCTCAATTAAGTTTTCTTATGTTTGCTTTTATTTCATATAAAAACTGAACTGTACTGGTTTTAGTCATCGCTCAAATAATACTTTCAATTGTTATTTCAAATGATAAGAATTAAAACTTTACAAACTAATATAAAGCCATTTCACATTAATGTCACTGATATCCATATATAGTTTAAAAAAACAGGAATAAAAGATATTTTGAAGGATAACAACTTCCTGGATTTGTTGGTATGGTATATGGGTAGGTACTATAGTACTGTCGGAAATAGAAAAAAACTGTTTTTTCACATTTATATCTACAATTTAGGTAGTTAATATGTGAAAGTGTGAAATATCTGTTAAACTAAGTTCGGCCTAACTACAGTCTCAGTGGGAGGGAGGTAGGAAATGTTAAAGAAGGATTTTACTGAGGAGAGATCAGTGCAGAAATGAGCAATGCGGGTTTTTTCAAAGTCTGAAGCGACTTATTTGGAGCAGACCATGGCTTTATGCAAATTAGTGTGCGATGATATTGTATAACAAATGACACTTTTTGAATATCCATTATGAAATTAGACTTAGTTTTATTATAAACTATAGCAGACGTAAACAATAACAACTTTAATACTGAAACTATTAAGGAGATAGATACCATTGAGTCTCACTATCACTATAAGAAGAAACAGGTAGGAGGGGTCGTCTCAAAAGCAACACCGAGACGGGTGTTGCTGACAGTAGTTGGGGTTGGGCTTGGGGATAGAGTCATTAGCTACGATTAGATAATCAATACAGACATATTCAATACACATGAAAAAGCATAAAATATATCTGAGATGACCCCTTGTGTCTGTGGGCAGCACGTGCATTTCATGTCAAGTGAGTCGACTGTCCGTCGTCATACCTGGCTGAGCGACCTAATTGCCATCTATAGTCTGATCTATTGTTTTCAGCAGCTATTCGTATGTTTTCCAAGTTTTGCCCGATTTTACGAGTAAACATGCTTTTCTGGATATCCTATTACGCATCCCACTGAACGCCCAGTTAGGCCAATATGGGTTATTTCGACATGTGCTATTTGCAATTTTGTCAATTTTAGGGATACAGAGAACAGCCTAAAAACAGTTTTTTTCTATTTCCGACAGTACTTTAAGTAAGCTATACTACCTAGCAAAAGTTTAGACTCACTTAAAACACTCACTGTATGTTATGTATATACATGTGGTTACATCGAAGATGAATTTCTCCAATAACTTGGGGGAACCAACTGCAAACCTTATGCAGATGAATTGCACGAGGATCATGCATCAACTTGCTGAAAAGCATGTGCAAATATCGTGCATGTGAACAGCTGCGTTTTGGTGTATATTTTGTAAAGAATTCGCCAATTTTCACTGAGTTTCATCTTTTATTGAACTCATGACAATATACTTTTCAACCTTACGAATTTGTTTTACAATACATCATGTTTTACAATACATGTGTAAACAGTACCCTTAAACTGTATAGAATATTTAGCAAAATCTAGTTTAGATCAGTTGACTGAAGTATGTGGCTACATTTACACTAGTGAGTCTAAAAACCTTTGATGGGGAGTTTTTGTAGTTAATATGTTGACGTACGGTAGGCGCCCTCAACCAACTTTGTGTAAACATGTCATCCATCATGAAGAAGAAGATTTGGCAATTGCAAAGCATGATAGAAGCTGTTATTTATACAGAAATGTGTCAGACATTTATACTGAATGGATATCTGCGATTCATATCTTTGAAAATCAATGAACTTGCTTTTTTAGCACAATTTTGTAACATTTCAAACACGATAGGGATTTTCTTACCCCAACTTTCTAGTGAACCAATGTATTTTTCAAACGTTTTCATTAAATCAATTTAGTTATACACATAAATACCGAGCAACAAATACTTTATATAATTAAATGATACTTAAATAGACACAGTCAAATTTAATGGCTTTTCTTTCAATTTTCAATTACTTAAAAAGAGTGGTAAATCTTTTTGTCCCTCTGTTTACTTTGTATTTTTCACTTATACATTCATTTTTTCCTTTGGTAGTATTTGTTTTAGATGCACAACTAGAAAAGGTTCATTTCAGTGTTCAGCTTTTTACAGTTTTCTTAGTATTATATACTGTGCAAAAATAAATGCATAAGTGGTTTTCAGATGCGACTTTATGTGTTGTATAAATATTCAGCAGATCATAATAATCTACCGATATGGGAAAATTCAGACCACATCATTACACTTCCGTCACCAAACCTGTCCACTTACTGTATGCAGTTTCGAGCATAACGTTCCCCGCGACGTCTGAACAGAGAAGGACAAAATATACACACAACACGTAACTCCTTTGAGAGGCATTTTAGAAGTTGTATAGATGAAGGAAAACCAAGTTGCTTGATAACGGTGTTAGAACCTACACCGAAACGTCGCACTCATTGCAATAAAGACATTTACTATCCACAGAACCCGGTTTTCCAACACGTAACTCGTCACTAAACGAAACATGTTTGTTTCCATCGCTATTGAGGCCATACTCTGTGTCCGTGACACCACTAATGCACGCAGCCCACTATGCAGATAATTCAGAATGACCCCTCGAACCACGAGAACACCTGCGGCGCATAAACGTTTCCTCAATATCTGGGCTGAAATCCTACACAATCCTGGTATTGACGTAGCTGTAGTGGTGGCTCTGGTGAGTCCATAACGCAAGTGCCGAACCCATTTGAACCTGTCCTGCGCTTCTGTTGTGACACCTATTTTTGCTTTTCCCCACTTTTAGGCCGTACTTATTTCTACCCGCACAAATACATCCCCATGCATACATACATAAATATTCAAAACTCCGTCAGATAATTTTCCCCACTTTTGAGCGTTTCATTTTTAGCAGTGTACATTTCTGCCATGGTATAATCGTAATTTCTTAAAATTTCCCATTGTAATGTTTACAGAAATGGCCTTCTGTCTTTGGATCATCTTCCTCTTGTGCATCGTACCCGTTGAACTAGCAGACAACAGTTCACCTCTGATGCTTAATGGCACAGCCAACTCCACACACATGAACAATACACGGATCTGTCTGATGGGAGATATCAAGGTAGAGATAGGCGACGGTGACAATATAACATGCGACAGGGATCCCTTAAATGGTACTGATGGCCATGGAGGCGGCGGGAAGACTGTCACCCAGTCGGACTACGTGGGTCTCATCACAGTTCCCATCTTCTTTATACTGAGTGTATGTGGGAACAGTCTCACAATAGCAGTGATGCTTGGGAAAAAGTTCCGATCGATGACTAGCAGCCTAATTCTTATTGCCATGGCATTATCTGATACCTGCTTCTCTTGCATAATTCCCTTCAACAGGTTGTTCTTCAGAGTTTGGGTTGGCTATGACGTCAGAGCCTTGTCCCCCGAAGGGTGTTCCTTCTTTTTTATCATGCACAAATCCAGCAAGATGACCTCCTCCTGGTTCATAGTCTTTGTCTGTTTTGAAAGGTTTGTTGCTGTCTCGTTCCCCCTGAAAACCAAATTAATCTGCACGAAACGAAATGCACTGATTGGCATAGCGGGGGTGTATATTGGCCTTTTCCTTTACAACGGATTCTGGACCTTCTCCACTAAAATTGTAAACGGGACCTGTGTGCCCAACTACGCCACTCCAGAAACTGCCGTCATGGCCAGAGTGTTCCTCATCCTCGGAACGTTCATCTACTCGCTGGTTCCAAGCGCCATCTTGCTTGTCCTGACTCCGGCCATCTGTTTCCAGTTAGCTAGACATTCTCGACTGAGGAGGGAGATGTCCAACAAGCAGGACACCAATGAGGACGAGACCAACAAGACCAACGCCATGCTGCTGGGAGTAACCTTCACTTTCTTCATCCTCGTCACACCCATTTCGATCGCTCACAACATCGCTTTTACGCTCAGTATAAACTTCTTCGAGAGCAAAGATTTCAAGATGGTTGTAGTTCGGGAAACACTGCAGGTACGTTTTAATTGGCAATCAGAAATTTCGACTTTTTAAGTCACTCCACCCTGCCTATTATATGTTTGAATAGGAGCGACAAAACCCCTTTTATATTCAGAATACAAACAGTCTGAAAATCAGTGATGACACCAGGTGTTGCGGAAAGGGAAAGGATATTTCGCCCTACATAGAAATTGTGCCTGAAACAGAGTCGACTATATCATTGATACATATTTCATTAATTACTATAAAACACCATAATCCATACTATTTTAAATCTACAGAGAACACTATATTTTCCAAAATATTGTTTCTTTTGGAATTCTGAATTTCATTCAAATTATCATCAAACAAGTCATAGACGGAAATGCAATAAACCGACAATTGTCTGTTCCAATCTGAGATGCGTCCTGTTATGGATTTGCAGGTGAATACCAGTGTTTGGTGGTTTGTGTTAAACCTACATCACTTTGGGTTTTCTGTCAAAACTGAATGTAACTGAAATACCGTTGTTGGCGGGGTTACACAAAACCAAATCCAATCCTTACGCCATGGTGGCTGCCGATAATAGAACTGGTGTCTTTGGTTCATGTGGACTTGACGAGCTAACTCTCAAGCCCCCGGACTACTCAGTGCTTGCAACGTTTATATCCCATTAATTATCGTACTTGAAATACATTTGTATTATCAAATGTTTGTATTCATTTTCATAGAAAAGCGAAATTGTACATTTGTAAATGTGGAGAGAACGTTTGTGTGTTCCATAGAGAAACAGAAGAATAATGTATGGATGAGGCAACGATTATATGTTAGGGTATCAATGTTACGTAGCCCACGTCATTATACCACAAATTATGTTGCGAGGTATAAATTTTAAAACAACATATTTACAGGCAATTGATAATTGAAAAATGCACATCTGATGATTAAAGTGTGTGTTGTCAATTAATGAATATCTTAAACAACTATTCCCCATTTACATTTAACGATTATTATCGCATAGTTTTTTAAAATAATACAATTCTCAGTACATAGATGGCTCTGAAGGGTTTATAAAGACAAGCAAACTTAGCACACTGTGGTTATGTAATTCTGAGTTTAAAATACCAAATCCTCCACGTATCCTTTGTTTCATCACGTGTATGTTGCTGTTGTTCAGTGTAGAGACATCATTCTATTTTCTTGTATGTTTGATGATTTCTGAACACTCTCAGCCTAGAAACTGTTTCAATGATCAGTGGCTTGCTGCAGGTGATGGAACAGATCAACTACTCCATCAACTTCTTCATGTATGTGATGTGCAGCCAGGCTTTCCGACACCGACTTGGCCAGCTACTGGGCTGCAAGTCCCTCCTGGCCCGGAGATCGGAGAGTCCAGCATCCTCCTCCATGCAAACAGCGGTATCGACAGTCTCTAAGAACTGACAGCAGAGATGCGCACACTCTCCCCACTTATAATACATTCCCTTTGTACTTACCGTTGTCTTGTACTTGTATTTAGATTGGATAGTGTTTGTTTGTTGTTTTATATATTTTCGCGGATAGTAATTCAGTATGACCAGGGCAGATCACAAATTATTTAGAAAGAAAACATTCGGATAACTCGATATTGTTTCTTGGTCCCATGAATATCGAGACAAATCCACAATTGCGACGTATCTATGTGTTTTTAATGAGTCTATACACGTCATGTCTGACACGCATAGTGAACGAATGTGAGACGAAGATGAACTGTTATCTGTGTGTCTACCAGTAGTTGGAATCATGACCACGCCACATTCAGTAAAGGTAGGGACATAAGTTTTCACTCATAAGACAGAACCTCCCAATAATGAATTCCTTATTCGGTTAATACGTGGAAGTTCGCACGGTCACACACGGGCTAGTCGTTCAACTGATAGAAAAGCCCTCGGTATGATGCTCACACATCTACGTGTATTGTACGTGTTTTTCTATATTGTACTTATAATCTACTCACGGGTAGAAATGTTTCTGTGTGGCTTGCTGAGAAAGGAAAATATAACTCTAAACGTGGCAGTTTGATTCTCTAAAACTTTGTATTGTAGCTTGTATGCATGTGGTCTGGGAATAAATATGTCAATGTAAGTGTGTCTATACTCGTCTTTCTGGTTCACAGAATGCCACGCTGGTAGTGAGACAGTGGAAATAGAGATTTTCGTCAAAGATAAACTGACGGGCTAAAGAAACGCTACCATAGATTAAAAACCCTCTTGTGAAATAACCACAAACAGAAAGATAGATCCATAAAACAAAATGAACAGCTGCTTTCATCCGAGAATGGCACCCTCACGTCGCTGCCAACGTCGGACCGTCCGGGCCCATCTAAGTCTCCGTCGGCGATGTTCGGCTGTCAGCAGCTGTCCCCGGAAAGGTCTGTAAGCCCGGATTCCATAGGACCTCAGTTGTCTGGCTACTGTGTATCTGCTAACACGGTGACCCAAACTATACGCCGCTGATGCCGTCACCCTTAGGAACCGGTTTCTGAGATGCAGTGTGCGCAGATACTGGTCCTCCTGGGGCGTTTTGACTGGAGGTCTGCCTGATCGTGGCCTGTTTGAGGTCAGTCTTGTCTGACGGTATCGCTGAATGACTCTGGTGACGGTGACGCGATGACAGCGTTCTTGGAATGTGGGCATGGGAGGCTCCCATTTAAATCATTCCTATCGCCCGTTCACATTGTCGCAAAGTTAATCGAGACATTCGTTGCTGTTTTTTTATTTAATAGAATGAATGTATGACAACCCGTTTGCATTCATTTTATACCCGTTTGGCGTTTACTTTTTTCGCTTTGCGTGAAACACATGCAAACCATATTTGGACAAAATGGTGAAAAAGCGTGCATTTCATTCCTTATTTCTACGTGAAAAATTCATTTTTACGTTTGGGAGATGTGTTTTACGTGATGGTGATTGCAGATAAATTTGGATTTTTTTTTGTAATTTCAATTCTAAAGTGGTAACGTTTCTTTAGCCCGTCAGTTTATATGCAATTTCAAACTGTCATCTCCGGTTTCAGAGATCGATTCATACTTTACCCACATTGGTACAATGTGCAAAGCCTATTTCTGATGTCCCCCGCCGTGATATTTGCGGGAATATTGCTAATAGCGGCGTCGGCGTGCATTTCATTCCTTATTTCTACGTGAAAAATTCATTTTTGCGTTTGGGCGATGTGTTTTACGTGATGGTGATTGCAGATAAATTTGGATTTTTTTTTGTAATTTCAATTCTAAAGTGGTAACGTTTCTTTAGCCCGTCAGTTTATATGCAATTTCAAACTGTCATCTCCGGTTTCAGAGATCGATTCATACTTTACCCACATTGGTACAATGTGCAAAGCCTATTTCTGATGTCCCCCGCCGTGATATTTGCGGGAATATTGCTAATAGCGGCGTAAAACCATACTCACCCACTCCATAGTGATCAATGTCATCACTGTTGTATTTTCATTTTGCGCCCTCTTTGATATTGGTGACAGATTGTTACCTTGATTTGATGTTTTGAATTTCTTGGAAGCTGCGATCGATCAAGTAAAGCGAGGAAGAACCAGTCTGCATTCTCCATGCAGCAACAGGGGACCCGTGAAGATCCGGGTTAGAATGGATCTTCAGTAGCCAATGCTTGTCGTAAGAGGCGACTAACGGGGAATCGGGTGGTCAGGCACGCTGACTTTGTTGACCATGTCATCGTGTCCCAATTGCGCAGTCCGATGCTCTGGATTGTTGATTATGTATAGACCGCCGCCATGTAGCTGGAATATTGCTGAGTGCGGCGTAAAACTAACCTCAAACTTAATAGTTGTCCTATAGTTTGTTACGGGTTGTTACACACACACACACACACACACACACACACACACACACACACACACGAGAGCATTAAATTTGGTACCAAGAATACTGGAATACACATGTTGAGCACGTTCATCACACAATGTCTCAAAAGCTATGGGTAGAATGTTCCATGCACATTTGTGTATAAATCATTTAACTGTAGTATGTGCACGTCCTGTCGCAACATCGGTGCTTACTTGAACATTAACCACACAATTATTAGTCGTCTTGTGAGGAGACACCCGGTGAAGTAAAGGATCGTCCAAGACCTGGGCCCCGTTTCACAAAGCTGTCGTAAGCCTAAGATCTCGTAACTTTTCTCGTAGCAATCGTACCTCCTATACTGTAGCATAGACTTACGACAGTCGTAGCGCTGCGATAGCTTTATGAAATGGGGCCCGGGAAGACTGAGGAAGAGCAATTACATTATTCGTCTTGAAGACGAAGAACTACGTCGGCAATGGAGAGTGGGAGTCTGACTGTCCGCCAGTGTCATCAAAAGGATGCCGAAGAAACGTCCCTTCCTGACACGAACAGGCAGGGGTATTTCACAGGCCCTCGTGTCTTTGCGAGGATTAAAGATTAAAGAAATATTGTTTTTGAGATGACCCCCGACTCCAAATGCTTCACAGTACTACATCATTAGTCTAATGACCTTGTCATGATGTTTTGTACTGTGAAGCATTTCGAGTCTGGGGTCATCTCAATTTTTTATGCAATTTAAAAAAAATCTTTAATCCTCGTAAAGACACGAGGGCCTGTGTAGTGTTTGCGAGTCGAGTGAACCTCAACAGTGCGTGGCCTGTCTTCAGATGAATGGGAGACCCTTCACTTCATTGGTTTGCCTCTGTGTTTATCAAAAGACTGACAATCTTCGTACTAGAGAGGCAGAAAAATGATTGAACATTGTAACCCATGTAGATTAAATACCGACATGTGGCACGTCTACAAACTACACTTATCAAAATTTGTGCTTTTGCCAAAGGACATGCTCCACAGGGTGTGTTTGGGAAACACTTTCCACCAACTGCACTTAATATCTTAACTGCAATAATATCTTAAATGAACATTAGTATCACATGTATCATCATACATAAGAACCCGTGAAGGTTAGAAGGGTTAGAATATTGGCCTTCAGTAGCCCATGCTTGTCCTACCCGGGTACTCGACCCCTATTACCCGACCCGGGTACCCGTTATAACGG